TCTATACCTGGACAATAAAGGAATGGTAAAGGTCGAGAACTGCACATCAGAGCTTTTTGGTTTCGGTAAAGGGGTAAGACAGGGATGTATCCTGTCCCCTATTCTCTTTAACGCCTATGGAGAGTACATAATCAGGCGGGCATGTGAGGGTTGGGAGGGCGGAGTCACAATAGGTGGCACTAAAATAACCAACCTCCGCTACGCAGATGACACCACACTTCTTGCTGCAGGTGAAATCGAGATGGTGAACCTCCTTGCTCGAATTGAGAACATCAGTTTGCTGTTGGGTCTAAAAGTCAATCACAGCAAGACCAAAGTGATGATTGTGGATCGAACCAACAGCCTTGAACTAACGGGAACGCTGAACCTTGACGTCGTGAGCGACTTCGTCTACCTAGGGTCTAACATTAATAACACAGGATCATGCGAAAAAGATATAAGGAGACGTATAGGCATGGCCAAAAATGCAATGTCCCAGCTGCATAAGATATGGAGAGACCGTAACATCACGCGAAAAACTAAAACCAAATTGGTGAGTTCGCTAGTTTTCTCCATATTCAGTTATGGCGCGGAGACCTGGACAATGAAGAAGGCCGACAGAGACCGAATAGACGCTTTTGAAATGTGGTGCTGGAGAAAAATGCTACAGATTCCATGGNTCAAAATGTCGCAAAGAAAAAGAAAACAAATTAATATTGAAGAAAAATCGCGTATTATGTAAATATATTTTTCCAATAATTCCCTATCGATTTGTTTGTACTTGCACGATACACATTAAACATCACCGGTTGTTACGACTATCGGTTTTTACGACTGAATATGAGCAGTCCCTTCGATGTCGTTATAACAGATTTTGACTGTAGATACTATATTTAAAATGTTTTAATTAAATAAAGTCTATCAAACTAATGAGCAATTCACATTAAATATTAATATAATACTAAAAACTCAATTTAATAGGAACAAATCATAAAGGCTTCCTTATAACATACGAAAAGGTTGGCGTAGCATTCAGAACAGAATTGAGGTTTTGTAACAAAGCATTATTGGAATCACAAAAATTAAATGTCAAGCTTTAATGTGTTGCACGCAATGTAACACTAGATGATGCGCAGGGTTAACGACCCCGCGGTCCTTTGTGATTCTGCGAACAGCCTTGTCTTTAGATTCTGGACGCGTCTCCTCAAACTATTCATACTTTTTTTTATTGCTTAGATGTGGTGGACGAGCTCACAGCCCACCTGGTGTTAAGTGGTTACTGGAGCCCATAGACATCTACAAAGTAAATGCGCCACCCACCTTGAGATATAAGTTCTAAGGTCTCAGTAAAGTTACAACTGCTACCCCACCCTTCAAACCGAAACGAATTACTGCTTAACTTATCAAATCAACATCGTCCTGCGCTAATGTGTTACATTGCTGTTTTAGCTTAGAGAGCGCGTTGCCTTACAGCCTGTAGTTTAGCTTATATAACATAATTATGTTTATTGGTAAAACAATGTAATATCTTAATTGTTAGCACTATTTATATACACATTTATGTTTTTTCTGTTTGTCACGGTAGGCAGCGGCTTGGCTCTGCCCCTGACATTACTAAAGTCCATGGGCGACGGTAACCACTCACCATCAGATGGGCCTACAAGGGCAATAAAATAAATTAATAAAACCTGTTAATGATAGATTCCGATATACGATAGATAAATCTATAAATTAAACTTCAATGAAGGTAATTCACATTATAATATACTATCTCAATTATTACCATTACCATTCACATGGAAGCCCATAATAAAACAATTTCCACGATATTAAGACGTCCGGTGTCCAAAGTCTGTATACTTTTAGCCTAAATTGTTCCTCAATAGTACTAAATGGCTTACAAAGTGTTGTGATGAAAACATTAGAAACATTGTCTAGATCAGTGATTCTCAACCAGTGTCGCGGAAATGTTTAGCCGACTTCAAAAAGGAAGTTCTTAATTCGGATGTTTTTTTTGTTTTGTTTTATCTCACAGCTTATTTCTAGGTGAACCGGTTTTTATAATTACTATTCGAAAGGTGATATTTCGTATGAGGTGACATTTAAATTTTATCAACATCTGACTAGTGATTATCGAGTAATCCTTAATAGTGCGTATCTACTTGACTTTGACTATTATGAAGATATTCGCACTTAATTATTATATTGTTTGTCTTTTCTATTATATTAAAATTTTGTATTATGGGTGCAGCTAAATTCCTAAAATACGCAGCGAATTTGTTGAAAGTTATATGTTTCTAAACAAAGGTAACCTTATTACCAACTTGTAATTAAGCTACTATTATTTTTGTAGTATATATTATTCTATTTAAAATTTTAAATTATGTTCATAAACTGTTTTACAAAGTGTATGTAATGTTACGCCAGTGAGAGCAACGCCATCTGTCGTCAAATAGTAGAGATGAATATCAAAAGAACTAGTAAAGTCGAGAACGCTCGAGAAATTCAGCGCCTTCTATTGTCAAATGGCGGAAACGCATATCAAAAATACTCGACTTGTAAGGAATGTTCTCGATAATTCTAGAGATGTCGTATCGACTATAAAAGCGTTGCAGGGATGTCACGAAGGCAGTTAGAAATCGGAACTAGTCGAAGCGAAACGGAAGAAGTGTATTACGAAGTGTAGTGTTCTGTGAGTGTTCTAAATGTTAATACATTTATAATTAGTACTTCGGTAGAATTTTTATTTATCCCGAACACCAGCGTGTAACAGTAATATAGGTAAGTTAACATCATTTAACCTTATTCGTTTCCTTAGTGTACCTTCACATTTTGAAAAAAGAAAGTTTGAGAATCACTGATTTTCAACATAAAACTTAACATAGTGCACCCAATCCAAAAAAAATACTGTAGAATTTCTAAGCGTTAGGCGGTCCAGCGTTCTAAAACACTTATCTTAAAAAATGAGATTTTGTTGAATAATTCATAAATCTTGTTACGATAATAATATGATTGCCAGCTGACAAAGCACTTATTAACCCTCTTGGGTTGTACGATTTCGGGCGAACAAAATTTCACATTACCAACACGATATGTAATTTTAATTATCAATAATTTTAAATCCTATTCTAAGGATATAGAACATCAGCTTCTGTACCTACATAGAAACGTCCAGAATTTTACTAAAGCTAATGCGATCGGCTTGTACTGGTTTTCCTTGAAGAAGGCACCTTCATTCTTATTGCATTAATTACATTATTATGCAATTTTAAAAGTTTACATAAACATCTCATACTCAAAACAGTCAAGTCTCTTAAAAAATATAGAACGTCTAGACTAGAAAACAAGTAAGTCGTGTAAACATAATAATATATATGTGTGTGTATACGTACGAACAACGAAGTATTTATACAAATTTAAATATATGGTCCTTTTACAGACCTATCTATATACAAAATATATATTTCACTATATATTTGAACAATTATGGTTGTCACAAGATAATTAATACCCTACGTTTTAAAGATAAAAGCGATTGCTATTAAATTCATCGATACTTTTATTTATTTCACACAACGCTTTCAGATATACATATATACTTGAGACCAGACCAATATTTCCATTGGGATCGCGACACGTATCTGGAAAATACAGCCTTAAAGTTTTAAGTTTTAATAATTGGACAGGTATTTCTATCTCATTCTGTTAGCAGCTATCCTTCTCTGACTACAAAAAAACGTCACGCGTTATGGGAGCAGCTGCACAAATGTTGGTGACATTTCACCAACAATTAACCACCCAAGAGTGCACATAGCTCACAAATGTTGGTAAAATTTCACCAACAATTAACCACCGAAGAGTGCACATAGCTCACAAATGTTGGTGAAATTTCACCAACAATTAACCACCGAAGAGTGCACATAGCTCACAAATGTTGGTGACATTTCACCAACAATTAACCACCGAACAGTGCACATAGCTCACAAACGTTGGTGAAATTTCACCAACAATTAACCACCGAAGAGTGCACATAGCTCACAAATTTCGGTGACATTTCACCAACAATTAACCACCGAAGAGTATACATAGCTCACAAATGTTGGTGAAATTTCACCAACAATTAACCACCCAAGTGCACATAACTCACAAATTTTGGTGACATTTCACTAACAATTAACCACCCAAGTGACGGTGATATCTAAAGAGCTTCTTCTACAACTTTCTTTTCTTCAAAGCGTTAGAATCAGTCCTTCAACTAAGTACATCAACCAATTTCTTTCACCTCATGTATTTTGATGACCATTTCATTTGACAATTTTTTGTTATATTGTGACTTTTTTGAAGTCCTTACTAATCCGTATTGAGTTGGATTTAAAATTATGAACAACAGCAATAAAGAAATATATATTGAATGGATTGATTTACTTTTTATTGAAACATAATATTCGCATTCCATTCTTTTATAAAATAGCTTTGGAAGTAACATTACTTTTCAATTTCATTGCATTGAGGTATGTGAGTGAATGAATGGGGTAAGTGAATGTATTGAATGACTGAACCGAACATTGTTGTAGGTTGCTTAGTTGTGAATGAATTGAATAAGTTAACTGAGACAATGAGTGAATCAATGCGTTCAGATATATTCCAATAATTCAATAAAAAAAATGTGAGCCGTCACGGGACGCCTGGCAGATGTGAAACATCGACATTATTTTGTAAAAGCAATATGCAGAAAAGAACAGACTGTGATAGGAACTAAATATGTCATAATGATAAAATAAAATATTACGAAAAAATAATTTGTTTTCAAGTAAAACACAGGTTATGTGTACTGTAGTAAACAAAACTGTATACACTACGGAGTATACACTATAGGTATCCGAGCTCAGTGTAGCGAGAGAGATGGCTTAACGCCGGATCGAGTGGGAGAGAATCGCAGTCGATTGCGCATGGCGACGCGTCGCCACACCGTACACACTACTGCATATAGACTGTAAATATATACCATCATATAGAATTGGTTTTACGTGCGGCTATAGATGTTTCACATCAAAAATCATAAAAATGCGCGTCTTACAAAAAAATACGTACGGAGTCTAATTTGTGCTGTGACGGGGCGACCGATGAAAACATTTGAAAGGTCAATAATTGAAATAAGGCAAAATACTATTTTTTATTATTATTTTAAACACAATTAATTACAAACTGTTTTAATGTCGTAAATAACAAGTATTCTTGGATTTAAGAGAGTGAATGAAAACATAATAAAAAAAAAAATTTAATAGCAATCGCATTCTCTATAGTACATACAGCTTAACCTCACAACTTCAGTCTGTAAACAGCAGCTTCTCAGCGTATTGAAACGATACAAACACACGAGCTGCCCATTTATTTCAAAAACTTCCTGAGCGTGTGACTAAGGGTACACTTGCCGGAGCGAGGAACCACCCCTACTCATGCGTCACTCAACGTCATCCGTCAAACTATTTAGGACTTATCCAACGTACTAACGTTGACGCTCTCATAAAAATTTCACTTTTCAACCATAACAAGTATATTTACAGTCGCCCGGAGCGATACAGCACTCCTCGAGGATGGCAGATCACCAGAACCGTTGAGGTCGGGGGCCCATCCATCGGTTCGGGCGAGGACCTGGCCGGGGCCAAGGTCCGAAGCCCGACCCTCTGAACCCTGCCCGCGGCCGCCACGCCCGCGGGAACCTCGGGCTCATGAACCGACTCGGCGGGCCGCACCACTCGCCCTCGTTCGCATATTCCTCAAAGTCTTCCTCCGATCTATAATTACGTTCGTTAGCTCCGTATTCTTCGTAATTACCTTCAGTTTCCATGCGAGTTCTACTTTCGGCGAATTTTTTCAAGGACGGAGGCATCGCGTCGAACGGGTTGACCATTCTGTTAGCGGGAGCGGTCATGGGGGCTATGGCCGGGGGGTTCAGCGCAGGGTTCGGCGGGAGGGGGGCCGACACGGGTCTGACGGCAAGCCGCTCGGGCTCGGGCGGCGGGCGGGGCGGGCCGAGGGGGAGGTCGCCGCGGATCGCCCCCCCCTCTCCGCCCACCAGGACCTTGTTGTTGTTGAAGATATGTCTGCGACTGTGCTCGGCTTGGTTCTGCTGCTGACTGCCGTACATTGTTTCTGCAACAAACGGTTGCTAATCAAATTGCGAAAGCAGACTGACTAAAATACGTAATGCCTTGGCCTAATCGCCTCTACCGTTTAGTGGTACTCTGAGATCCGGGTCTGATTCTTCAGGAGCCTGATATTTTTATTATTTTTTATTATTATATCAACTTAGCATTCGAGATCAGATTCTTGTATCGCATGGGTTAAATAAGAGTGTATTTAAGACAAAAATAATAAAGCATGAGTAATGAGGCTCTATTTCACACCTGTGTACTTAATGCGAGTTTTTAAACGTTCTCGATAGCGTAAAAGTTAACTCGAATTTGTATACCATTGGAACATTTGTATACGTTTTCCGCTAGGGGCGCTGTTCCAACTGAATACAAAATTTAGTTAACTTTTACGCTATCGAGAACGTTAAAAAACTCGCACTAAGCACACAGAGGTCAAATTCCCAACTGCATTAGATAGTTATCGAACCGGCACGTGAGGCAGGACAGTAGCTACCGTGTGGACTCACAATACCCACGTTTATAACTACACCAATTCATAATCTTGTTAATTTAATATTTATTATGCGATACTATTTCTTCGACGTGATTAGTCCTTTGTGCACGCGTGTCGAATCTAAATATTCTGCAGCGAATATCCACTTTTAGAATTTTTTTCTGATATTCATGTGAAAATCCCTTACGTGGGTCCTCATCTTCGGATAGGTCCATGTCGACACTCTCCACTATGTCCGTGGGCTGCACCATGACCGGGACCCTGTAATCCTGTAGACAAACATTATATGAATAATACAGAAAGCACTGAATTCAGTATTTACTATTGATATAGAACTTTAGTATATAATCAATACATATATAATAGGTCGGGGAAAAAGTTTCTTCGCATTTTTAAAAAAAAATTGACTACATTTTTTAATATTGTTTATTTACATTTAACTAAAGTATGTAGGTACCATTTTGGTCGATAACTTTTTGCCATCTTGTAGGTAGGGACATGATCCCATTGCTATAGAAATTTTGGGGCTTCTGATCAAAATACCGCGACAATTGGTTTTGGCAGTCCTCTCGTGATGTTAACCTGACACTGCCTAAAGAATTCTGAAGAGAGCAAAACAGGTGGAAATCTGAAGGTGCAAGGTCAGGACTATACGGCTGATGCATTAACACCTCCCAGCCAAGCTCTCTTAATTTTTACTGAGAGGCTAAAGATGTGTGAGGTCTGCCTGAAAACTCTTAATTTTCACTGTTATGTTGTAACCATCCCATAAGAATTTTATAGTCATCTGCCATATAATCACAGTACGATTGTAAATTTTACTTACATACCAGATTCTCAGAGACAAACTGTAAAATTAGTAAAAAACTCATTTGGATTCTGACCGGTGATGATAACGTGGTGCATCCTGAGTTCTGATGATCTTATAGCGTTGTTGTGTGTGAGTGAGTTTACCTGGTCCCCGACATGAGCGCTGTTGGGAAGCGGCGCCGCGAGCTGATGAGTCAGCGATATTAGATTCCTGTGGTCCACGTCTGTGGATGAGAAAAAAAACATTAGAAACGCAAGACCACAAGAAGGTCCACATCTTATACACATGGTAACACACAGAGAGAGCTTTTGTTCTTGATTAAAACTTTAGGTAGGTTCATTGGAAAACAGTTCAGATGAACTGTGTGAACTTTGCAATAAGCAAAAACTTTGTACCCCTTTTTACGAAATTTGCGCGAACGGAGGAGTATGAAATTTCCCACACTTACAGAGAATATACAGTAGGAGTGCAGAAAGCCATTTTTTTGAAGTGAAAACTTCTTTAGAATCGTTGTGATTTCAAACCGGATGCAACGGAAAAAACGACAGGTAAGAGACACAAATACAAAAATGTGTAGGATGAAGCCAGCAAAGAATGAGACAGAAATATACATACTATTTAATACAGCGCCATCTGTGAGATTTTTAATACTAACGTGTGTATGAAAGCTCTTGTAGTNTACATACTATTTAATACAGCGCCATCTGTGAGATTTTTAATACTAACGTGTGTATGAAAGCTCTTGTAGTGAATTTTAATTTAGGATTATACGTGAAATTAAAATATCAATTCACAGAGGGCGCTACCTTACAATTATTTACTAATGACAAAATTTTACATATACTTAAGACGTTTAGGATAATTGTATTTTAATTTTGGAAGGTTTCAGTTCTACCACGTGAATTGTACACATTTTGTTTTTTTTTTTTAAATTGTGCATTAAAAATACATTAAATCAATAAAGAAAATATTACACACACTACTATATATTTAACTCACAACACGCATATGTATTCGTTAGTTTATTGATAAAATCTGCAGTCAAGTTGAGAATAGATTAATATTGTTTGTCTTTAATATCATTTGTCTATAATGTAGTCTTGGAGTGTGATTATAGAAGTAAAGTCTTTGACAATAGAACCATAATAATGTTCAAACTTATAATTTAAATTAATTATTAATTATCCAGACCGTGTTAAAAAATATTTATACACTTTGTAGACAATTTCGTATGACTGATCATGTAAAGCCTTCCCTCTTTTTCCTAAAGATGCCATAGTACAATTCTAAATCGTTTAAATTTGGGTGTGTTAACAGCTCTCTATATATATTCTGAACTGCACGCGACCGTACTCCACCGCATTTGTCGAACGACTAATAAAACTTAACACATGTAGTGTGCGAAAGAGACAACGCTCTACAAAGCCGAAATTAGCCGAATGTCTCTTTCTAGAGGTCGATGTGCATTATTTCTTGTTCAGTACTGTACCTTGATGTAGAATCGGATGTCTGGTTGCGGGGGGCGCGACTGGCGGAGGGGGGTTCGATAAGGTCGGTAACAATCTGTGATCCACATCTTCTATGTCTGCGAAAGACAAATCAGCTGATAAGTTTACGTCAAAACATATTGAATGTTACTTCATGCTCGACAGATGAACCCTATTCAGTAAATTATATAACGTCAACTTTACGCTTAACTTTACTGGTGGTAGGACCTCTTTTGAGTCCGCAGGGGTAGGTACCACCGCCCTGCTTATTTCTGCCGTGAAGCAATAATGCGTTTCGGTTTGAAGGGCAGGGCAGCCGTTGTAACTATACTTGAGACCTTAGAAATTATATCTCAAGGTGTACGTTGTAGATGTCTATAGGCTCCAGTAACCACTTAACACCCGGTGGGCTGTTAGCTCGTCCACCCATCTAAGCAATTAAAAATAAAAATTAAAAAAAACTTAACGAAGTTGCCGTTTTAACTTGCCATTTGAAATGTAATTTATGTATGCCCGTCAATAAATTTTAAACATAATAGTAATTATCGTTCAAAATCGTTTGACAAATAACTATGATTCTAAACTCACGTCCCAGCATTGACAGGACGGGGGGCGGAGGCGGGGGCGGCAGGATACCTCTGTGATCCACATCGGAGACCGGCGGCGCTTCCTGAAAATATTTAAACATTTCTATACTTTTTATTAAATAATCGTAATGTTCATTGGAAACTGACAGACACTACTTTTCAGTGGGCGGTGGGGGCCAGGAGGGTGCAGTGGGGGGCCAGGAGGGGGTCAGTGGCGAGAACAAACCACAATAAAGATACGCGTCCATTGGCCCACGCCGGACACAACGCACGCAACGCATTTTTATTTTGCTTGGTATTTTTTGCTCATAAATGCCGGCGTTCGTAGCGGGCGGCGCGTAGTGGACGCGTACCTTTAACCACTCTTTTTTTTCTCAGCGTGAGACCGGAGCAGTTGTTGCGCTGATAGCGAAAACAATTAGAAATAAAGGCCCCCCACTTTTCCATAGTAGTAGATAACCTTATTATCAAACCGGACTTATTATCATCTCCTATTTGAGTCGTCTATTATCAAAGCCGGCAATCTGACTTTTGGACAATGATTGGTAAATCAGAAAAACGAATTATTGACTTTGTATTCCATTGGCAGTCACAAAACTCTTCGGAACGACATCTTAGATAAATAACAGGTTAACTATTAACCTTCATTTAATGCAGGTTTTGAACCGTNGACTTTGTATTCCATTGGCAGTCACAAAACTCTTCGGAACGACATCTTAGATAAATAACAGGTTAACTATTAACCTTCATTTAATGCAGGTTTTGAACCGTATTCTTTGAAGGAGACGATTATATTCAAATCAATCTGAATTGACATATCAATAAAAAATTTTTGTCCAAATGCACAGATTGCCACCTTTGATAATAGACGACTCATTTAATCCCTATCCAAATTTTGAGTGAAATTTGTTGTGAGCTTGCGCTAGTAAGTGCCTTGATAGCGTCACAAAGAAATCCGATTTGAAGATCGCATTCTTGAGCTGTGATCCTATCACAAAACTTTGACATAACACGTCAAGGTGAGTGATGGCCCGATCCGGTATTACACACACTCGTGCAAGCATACACACATGCGCATAACGAAATTTTGTAGTGACATACAAAAAAAATACTTTTTTATAGGTTTCCTGCTGTTAATAAGGCATGGTGTTATCGTACGCATGCAATCGTCAACGTATGTGAAATTAAACCTTTCGTTTCCTTAACTTCGAGACATTATAACGAGTGACCCTCAGAACAATTTCTATAGTACGGGTAGGGAGATGCTCTTCACCAACCCTTAGAAGCCACGCAGAGAACATTGAGTCTGAATTACCATTCCCTTCTAATGCTAAACCTTATAAGCCACGGAAATAAATAAATAAATCCAATCTATGATAGCTCACGGTAAACTCTACAACCAATCACTTGGTTTTACACGTTTGGATTGTGAGTATAATAATTTTAAATGGTGTTAGGACTAATATTTTTTTACCGATTTGTAATTCATACAGGATAACAGAAATTCAGACCGCGTTATCTGGAAGCGCGGCACTTGCGAAATTTACGAATAAAAACTGCGAATAAAGGAACGCGGAGAATGGAGGTGACCGTAATGAGAATTGACAGGGGGGTCATTAAATTTTTAGTTTTTTTTTTTTTTTTTTATATCAAAAGGCCATTTTCAACCATTCTCGTGTTAACTAAATCAAAAGTTTGAGAAAGTTTACGTTTTGCTTTTGAAGTGAAAGCTTTGTTTAGCACAGTCGTTTTATGAAATTCGATGCAACAGAAAAGCAACACCGAAAAGAGACAACCGTATCATTTATAGGACTAATAGTAGAATTATTTTGTCCGTGCAGTTTGGGTCATAAAACATAGTCCGGCTAGGGTCGTGAGCATGTTGCGCGGGCGCAACGCCATTATCGATAAAAACAAATGAGTCATCGAAGGTAGGTACACGGCGGCGGGTTGTATACGAAGGGTGGTGAGACATTGTTATGTTATAAGTCATTTGTACTTACCTACAAATTATAGTCGAAGAGAAATGTATTTTAATGCATTCGTTCTCTGAATTTCTTTAGTGACACAATGGCTACTCCTTTGTTTTGTATTCAAACGGCAGAATTTATTCAAAATAATATTTGCACGTGTTGTTATGAACAATGTGTTAAAAAATTTCACTGAAATAAGAATAGATCCCGAAAAGTTACAAAGTGTTAATTTCTGCCGTTCTCGTTAACTTGCTGCGGCGATATGTGATGTAAGTGTTTTATTAGTGATTTTTTCTTTCATTTTTATCCCCAAACCCACAAAATGACAAAACTAAATGCACTATCGATAACGCTTATCGACAACAATAATGCGCATCACTATGCCCGTCCATAAGGCTCGTGAGTGGAAGAGAGAGCGAAATACTCGCTTCACCGCTCCGATTTTTTATGACCCAAACTGCACGGACAAAATAATTCTACTATAGTCTGAGAAGTTATGAGATAGCATGCTTCTAAAGGTTTCACTTCTACCACATATAAACTGCACGTGTGTGTGTGTATTTTTGTTCTCTTTGCTAAAAATATTACGGATTTCAAAAAAAGGACAACTAATAAATGATAATTGAATGACATTACCGTTGCAATGACAGGAGCGAAGGGTATCCCCCGGGCTTGATGGTGAGGCGGTGACTCCGGGGTGTCGATTATAACGGGAGGCGGAGGTATTGATGTGATCTTAAGGAAAACAGTTACCTTGTCATTTTAAAAACGTATCGGGCCCTTCGTCTGTAACGATACTCAAAACTCACACTGTACTTAGATAAAGCACGCGTTCTCTATCAGGCGATTAGCGACACATAGTAGTCGTCGTGGCCTAAAGGATAAGACGTCCGGTGCATTCGTGTTGAAGCGATGCTCCGGTGTTCGAATCCCGCAGGCGGGTACCAATTTTTCTAATGAAATACGTACTCAACATATGTTCACGATTGACTTCCATGGTGAAGGAATAACATCGTATAATAAAAATGAAACCCGCAAAATTATAATTTCCGTAATTACTGGTGGTAAGACCTCTTGTGAGTCCGCGCGGGTAGGTACCACCACCCTGCCTATTTCTGCCGTGAAGCAGTAATGCGTTTCGGTTTGAAGGGTGGGGCAGCCGTTGTAACTATACTTGAGACTTTAGAACTTGTATCTCGTGGTGGGTGGCGCATTTGCGTTGTGGATGTCTATGGGCCCCAGTAGCCACTTGACATCGGGTGGGCTGTGGGCTCGTCCACCCAACTAAGCAATAAAAAAAAAAAAAAACATATTGACGTCACAACGCGAATACCGCTCGAGACGATGTTCTTAGCATTATCTAGCAAGCCCGCGATTATCTATAAAATGATTTTGGAAACTTATTTCATAGCCAATTTTAAGTCCTAAGGCCATTGTCTAAACAGTTTAATGATGTTGAAAATAATTTTGCAATGATCGGAAATACCACTTATGAAACTTCACGGATTGTTTAATTATTATACCTTTTGCCACTCTTGGTGGAGCTTACGACCCGCCCGATTGTGTATGGTCGTCATCGCTCACAGAAGTATGCAAGGATAAGCAAAGCAACTCTACTAATGATTTGTAAAAAGCTACAATCCCCATTTGACTTTTCATATAGTTTCCTCTCGATTTAAACTTTATTTTTAAACTACCTATTACATAAACTGACTAAATAACTAAATGATTCAAGATATTATTACGACGAATTTTTTTTTTATTGCTTAGGTGGGAAGACGATCTCACAGCCCACCTGGTGTTAAGTGGTTACTGGAGCCCATAAGCATCTACAATGTAAATGCGCCACCCACCTTGAGATATAAGTTCTAAGATCTCAAGTATAGTTACAACGACTGCCCCACCCTTCAAACCGAAACGCATTACTGCTTCACGGCAGAAATAGGCAGGGCGGTGGTACCTACCCGTGCGGGTTCGGAAGAGGTTCTACCACCAGTAAAAACTAAACTACACGTAAACTTCACGGATAGTTTAATTATTATACCTTTTGCCACTCTTGGCGGAGCTTACGACCCGCCCGATTGTGTATGGTCGTCATCGCTCACAGAAGTAAGCAAGGATAAGCAAAGCAACTCTACTAATGATTTGTAAAAAGCTACAATCCACCATTTGACTTTTCATATAGTTTCCTCTTGTTTTAAACTTTATATTTAAACTAGCTGACCCGGCAGACTTCGTAATGCCTCAATCGACAAATAAAAGACCTAAACTTTTGTATAAAATAAACTTAAAACAAACAAAAGGAATCCGTCCGACCGGGGACGCATCGAAGGGAAAACAAAATTGTTATTTTTATTTAATTCCGAGCATTTTCATATTTATCTTTTAAACCTTCTCTGGACTTCCACAAATAATTCAAGACCAAAATTAGCCAAATCGGTCCAGCCGTTCTCGAGTTTTAGCGAGATTAATGAACAGCAGTTAATATATATATATATAAATATATAGATTTTTAAACTACCTATTACATAAACCGACTAAATACCTAAATGATTCAAGATATTATTACGATGAAATAATAAAATCGTAGAGTTGTAGATTTTTATATTCTATACCAGACCTATGACCACACGTTGGCACGCCGCAATGTACGTGCAATGATACATTACTGGCTCACGAACGATCAACTACTAAAGCGATAATGTTTATAATTGACTAGCCGTACTCGCCCGCTTCGCTGGACATTTAAAATTAACATTATCATTTATTGTCATTATTATTAGGGAATCGCAACACTCATATAAATATTAGCCTAGCCATTACCTACACGTATTTTCTACATGGATACCAAGTTTCAAGTCAATTGGATGCATTGTTCAGTAGTTATAACGGAATATCCGTAAAAACCACTGTAGATTTATATATTAGTATAGATATGGCAAATCAATATTGATTTCTGATCACATTAAAGTAATATTAAACGGGTCTCTATACCGAACACCGAACCCCGTACGTTTTGTGAAAAGCTTTAAGACAACTCACAGCCGCCACATTCCAGGAGTTGCCCTCCCAGGGACTCGTAACTTCCGGTATGTAGCTTGCTTCCGGTTCGTCTGAAACGATACAAAGGAAATGAAATCAACGATCTATATTTCCAAAATCCAGATCAAATAAAGTTAAAACATATAGATAGGCTTTCAAGTCATTTAACAAAAAAACATTCCACAAGATTCATGAAACTCACAATTCATAACTCGAAAGTACCTCAGCAATTATCAATTTATTATTTGTTTTACAAACGCCCCAACACAAATAATTTTGAGAGAGAAATACCAATGTCATCTAGTGACTATGGAACAGTGATGGGCGTAGCTAGTTACTTTTGTAATCTAATTAGTAATTAAACTACAAAATAATTTAATTACAATGTAATCTGATTATATAGTAATCAATTACATTGTAATTAGAATTACTTTGGATGTGAAAGTAATTGAATACAATGTATTTAATTGCAATATAACTAAATTACAATCTAACTTAATTTATTAATCTAACTATATTGTTCCATAGTATGGAACAATATTTTCTGACCTTTAAATTGTGACTGAGAACTAATGCATAATCTACACTTTAATATATCTGAAACCTTAACTTAAGCTAATTTAACATTAATAAACATGGATGGTTTAAGTGAAAGTCATTATAGCATACCGTTAATGGTACCATAGAACGATGTGGGTGGCGGTGGATTTCCATTACTTTCTGGTGTCAATAAATCCAGACCGGGAAGTGCATCTTGGGATTTCTGAGATAATGTTCCGCTGCCCACTGAAATTTAATAATTACATTTGTATTTTTTTTTATTGCTTGGATGGGTGGACGAGCTCACAGCCCACCTGGTGTTAATTGGTTACCGGAGCCCATATACATCCACAACGTAAATACTCCACCCACCTTGAGACATGAGTTGTTGTAAGGTCTCAGTTTTTATAGTATAAAGACTGCCCCGCCCTTCAAAACGAAACGCATTACTGCTTGACGGAAGAAATAGACAGGGCGGTGGTATCTACCTGAGCGGACTCACATGAGGTCCTACCACCAGTAATTACGCAAATTATAATTTTGCGGGTTTTAGTTTTAATACACGGTGTTATCCCTTCATTGTGGAAGTCAATCGTGAACATTTGTTAAGTACGTATTTCATTAGAAAAATTAGTACCCGCCTGAGATTCGAACACCGGTGCACCGCTCAACACGAATGCACCCGACGTCTTAGACCTTTAGGCCACGACGACTTCTAAATTTTTTTTAATTCAACATTATAGGTATCAGAAATGGTTTATTCTTTCTCACTGTTCACAGGAACACACAAATTAGTCATAGTGGCGAGAGACAGGGTGATATACAAAAAAAAAACTTATAGTTCAATCACTCGTGACTTCCGCTCTTGTGATTGTTAGCTCCGGTGCTGCACACCGTCCTACCACTATTCGATGAAGAATCTCTAATCACCACTCTACCACTCTACCAAATTCAAGTAAAATTTATCTGAATAACTCACCTGAATTATTGTCTGATGTGACAGTGTTGTCGTTAGGGATCAAATTCTTGAGGAAATCGTTGATATTAAAATCCGGTTTATCCGTCGGTCTCGAATTTATAACTTCAATTTTGTTAGCTGCAATTTTAGAAAAATATATTGCCTCATAGGTACTCACAGTTAAAAACATGTGAACATTGGGTATACGCCTTACAATTACATTACTAGATATGAATAAATTGGATGCGTTATTTATTGGATTAGACGTCTGATCGCCACAAAATTCATAATCGTCGTGGGCTTTACAGTGGCAAGATTTCAGTTACACAGTTATATGCAATTAAAACTTAAATATCGAATCTCGAGCTGGGCGGTGGTTTGAAGTAATAATGTCTGTTGGTAACTCTAGTAACCACTTAACTTAAGGTGGGCCGTGACCCCATTGAACCCTATATACAATAAAAAGAGAGTTATTCCAATGTGAATGTGGAGAAAAACCCCAATCTCATATCCCAAAGAATATTGTATATATGAATACCTAATCACCACAGAAGGTGGACATGAGCCCAATCTTAACATACTTTGGTAAGAAATATCACTACTAAAAATAACCCAAACCTATGCGAGCTGTTTGGTGGCTGACAGTAGACACACAACTGCAAAGGGTTAATAAGGGAAAGGTGTACTACATCGATCACATTATCCCTGAGTCAAATAAATACATTTCCTAATTTACAAAACATGTGCTTAATATGAACACTAAATAAAAAGATAACTTACTGCTATTATAATCTTCGTTTGACTCATTGAATATCGCCATTGGATTGTCTGAGGTGAGAAACGATGTCAGGCCCAAATTATATAGAGAACCGTCTGGGCCAAGAGTTGTGTTAAATGATTGATCAATGTTGTAAGCCACTGAAAAAAAAGACCAACAGAAAATATTTAAGTAACAGTTAATTTATAATATATAAGTTATATTAAGTAAGTTAAGCAATATTTAAATTATTTTTTTAAATTAAATTAATATAAATTTTAAATTATTTTTTGCTTAATTTGGATTTTATAATTCCATTTCAATTTACCAGATTTACTTGTTTTTAAACGATAATGAAGCTTATATTTGCAACTCAAAACATTAATTCGAATATGCTGAGTAAGAAAATAAAAATGTGGAGGATATGACAAATTATACTATTTTAACCTATGTTGTCTAAATGGGCTCAACACACCATAGTATTGATGAATGATGAAATATGTCAAGTAAAAGATCTTTTATTACTGGCTTTAACTGTTCACGTTGTAATAAAAATGTTCTTCCTTAAATAACTACCTGTCCACTAAAGCAAAATTTAACCGTGACATCCACAACAGAGCATTTTCTTCCAGTGAGTATCGATTTCGAAAAGATTTTAATTTTTTTGTTTTTTTTTTTCTATTTTTGTATCTAGTTAAAAGTAGACTATTTTCATTATATAATTCATTTATTAATTTTGGAGTGCCAACAAAAAACATACATGATTCACATATTGTTAAGAGTATCATCGAAAATTGCATTACAATAACTTACAGTCATCACTTGCTTCTTCGCTAACATCGGGAACAGGCAGGTCGAGATCTTCATCAGGACCAGGTGAAGGCACATCTTCATCTCTCGGAGGAGGAGAGGGCGCCGACGACGGTAAATTAGGTATTAATTCATCTAATTTACGTTTCAATGCTCTTACTCGAGCACCAAAATTTTTGTAAGCCTTTGGATTAAAACAATATTGATTGACAGTGACTCTACACTTTATGCAAAAATTATAGTAAGATTAATATGTATATATATTTTTAATACTATCGTTATAACTTTAAATCTTTATTAATCCTTATACTTAAGTTAAGTATTCGCTCACAACCATATTTAATAGAGAAATTAATCTCAAGCATCTAATGACGAATGGCTCTGGAAGAATATTTTCATAAGATTCTTCCGAGAACAAGTTGGTCCACATAATTTCTATATAATTTTTTTGTAGGTAGATCAAATATGATTAAAATGATAATAACATACATAGGCTACAACTTTGACTTCCCCACGTTGGGTTGAGTAATACTGCGTGGCCGAGGTCAACAATGCCAATAGTGTCTCCCTTGCTACAATCTCACGTTGCAATGCTTGTGTGTACCTCTCTACACAAGCTATACCTTCAGTCACTTCTTTATCTACATTATCCTTAAGGCATCTCTCTGAAACAAAGAATGAAATTTTTTAATTATGAGTCGTCTATTATCAAAGGTGGCAATCTGTGCATTTGGACAAAAAAATGTTATTGATATGTCAATACAGATTGATTTGAATATAATCGTCTCCTTCAAAGAATATGGTTCAAAACCTGCATTAAATAAAGGTTAATACTTAACCTGTTATTTATCTAAGATGTCGTTCAGAAGAGTTTTGTGACTGCCAGTGGAATAAAAAGTCAATAATTCGTTTTTCTGATTTACCAATAATTGTCCAAAAGTCACATTGCCGGCTTTGATAATAGTCGACTCTTATATTCTTCAGTTTAGTCAGTCAGTCATATCATTCAGTTTTAACATGCTATATACTTAATTTAAGCACTCATTACAAATGGTAAAGTGAATGAAATTCGAAATTTTTATTTATATAAATACTACTTGAATATATAAATTATTACATGAAACAAAAAGAAAACTTATGAGCACAGAAATACTACACAGTTAATATTTATATGTTAAAATATATGGTTTCATTAATTTAATTTTTTTTAAACTGTCTAATAATTTCAATATCAAAAATAGAAATTAGTTCTGTTTTATATTGTATATATCAATTTTTATTTTTCTAGTTCTGTGTTCAAAAGCCGTTTACCGATAATATAGCCATTGTAACTCCCACAAATGAGACAAATCTAATGTTGGTCTGTCAAAAGGTTTAAAGTTTGGTGTGTCAAATAATTATATATAAATACATGCATACATATACATACATAATATGTATGTATGTGTATGTATGTGTATGTATGTGTATGTATGTGTATGTATGTATATGTATGTATATGTATGTATATGTATGTATGTGTATTCAACATATGCTCAAAAAACGTTACCCTCCTATGGGATTGTAAGTATTAACAGAGATGCAAATAACATGTAACACCTAATTTTTCCATTCAAATTGGTCATATTTTAAACACTCATAATAACAATCTCTAAAGGTCTTTTTTCTCCTACCTAAGCTGATAGCCTTGAGAGGCTATTTCAGCGTAACCTTAACTAGTAGGTGAGCTCACGGGGCTCAAGCCGGAGTGATGCTAACACTGACCCTAGCATAATGCAATGCTTCTCAGAATCTACCACCGGATTGGAAACGCGACCCACTGAGAAGCAAAGGTCTAATGGTATAATATAGTTCTATAAGAAAAATGAAAAATTGAAATGAATGTGTCATAGATAACGTAAAACTTCCAAATACTGAAGACTATGTAATATAATAGTACTGGCAACTCTCAGAATACATTACATGTTTGACACTGCAGAAGAAAAGTTTAATTTTTAATTAAAGCTTTTTTTAATTTCCCAACTATAGTATTAAGATCAATAATGTGTTATCGAGCAACACTTCCATCCTCACATTATAAATTATTTACGAAATTAGGAAATATATAGAACTTATTATTCTTATAATATAATTAGTAATTTCATAATCAAGTAAATAGTTCATTCATATTTCTTTATACTTATAATATTTTATGGGCGCCTTCCGCTTGACAGCTTCCGGCGCAATAAGCCTTAATGTTATTTATGTTATATAATTCGATATTATTAAATAATAATTGTACGTAAATAATCAGCAGAATAATTAAGATGAACAATGTTTAATATTACCTACTCAGTTTGTATTAAAATAGGTCAAGACGATTGTATAAATACCGGCGTTTAGCATATCTCTGTTGCATTCGTATTCTACCCACCATAAGGTGTACTAAAGAGAATATATTATTTCGTGTGGATGTAAATTGTCTCAATTGTCGCCGCCACCCTGAGGATCCGTTTATAAATGTTACTAACAGTACTGTGGATTAGATTCATGAAAACTATGTTATATCCTCTAGTGGTCTTGTATTTTGGATACCAACTTACCTTTTAAATTAGCAGATAACGCATCTATATCAGAAAGCGGTAATTGATTCTCGTGAATACTTTTCAGTCTCATATCAGTATCAGCCTCGAGCACAGTGCATTGTTTTATTTTATTAACTAATTGTTGTGGCTGAAAAGAACAAAAATAGCTGTTATAATACAAATCCAAAAGTTAAGAATTTAGGTCCATCTATTTTCCTTTCTGATACTTTTTTAGAGAGTTTGTTTATACACATTTTTAGGATATTCATTCTTTTTTTTGCAAATAAAATATTAGGTTATTACACGACATTATGTTTGTTTAGATTTAAATAATTTTGTACAAGGTATAAATCTAGTGGTATAAATTGAAGTGTCACATCATATTCAAATTACTGCATCTAAGATTTCATTGGAAGCACACATCGAAATGTGATTTCTAGTTTTTAAGTTGAGTTATTTAGTATGAATAAATACAATCTATCCATTTTAATTCACTTTTACATTATTATTCTATACACTCTATTATTCTAAAAAACAAAATATTTAAAGGACATGGGCCACTCTCCATTGATTGCCTGGCCCACTAAACAAAGTTCAAGGACAGTAATGAAATTAAGTTTAAATAACCGTCTTGCTCGTTTGCCTCTCGTTGATATAAAAAAATAAATAAAAAAAAAAAAATTGAATATAATATCCCTTTTACTATAAACAAATTAAAAATCAATATTGTTCATGGGGATACAGAGATATTTAAAAAATAAGATAAGATTTTTAGGTTACCTATATCATATGATTTGCTGTAGTACACTTACACTTTAACATCAACATCAACTTAAATATTATTTATATTACTATACTTTATAACACAGACCTAATTCAATGAGCGCCAAGACTTAATTTTATGCACAACAAAATATAATAAGCAGGTATATCGCAACAAAACACTTAATAATTATCCACAATGCGCACAAGTGCGAAAACGACTGATCAAATGCAAAACGTCAATAAACATTAAACAAGCGTAGTTTTGTTTTTGCTTATGATCAATAATTATTGATCAATGTAATGATTTATTCTACGGATTTAAAAGTATAAAAACAGATTTTTGTTTAGATATAATGTTTTATATTAGTTTTAAAATCCATTAATTAAATATGTTAATTTAATTTGATAGTTTTTTGCAATATAATGTCTTTTTTAAGAAGATTTCATGTGGATTGTTTAAAATATAAATATATTTTACCTATGGCAACTCCTTCAATATTATCAATGTAGTTAAGTCAAGCTAATTTCTTTTTATTTATGATTTTAATTAATCATCCCACCATTAAAAGACCCGTAAATTTTATAATAAGTATGTAAAAATGAAATGTTTTTTTCTATAGATATTTCATTCGTGTCCTTGAGAGCACTAGTAGCTGGGCCGAAAATGACCCATCTCCTTTAATATTTAAATTATATTAAAATTGGTTTATTTTTAATGGAGTTTGAAACCATTTTAAACTATAAATAAAGCAGTTTAAAATAAAAATTTGTAAGAAAATCAGCCACTCTCTTTTAATGAAATAAAAACTTTATGTCATTAATAGTTCTTACCTGGAAATCTAAAGCATCATCATCTGATTTCTTGATTGCTCCAGCACTAAGTAGTCCAGTCAAATCAGATAAGAATTCATCATCATAAACAGATCGCTGTTCCCATATTTTAAATATCCTCAAGATTTTTGGCCTCACTTTTTCATCTCTGAAAATATTTTCTAAGAATTATTTTTTACATTCAACATTGTTATCTATAACTATGTTATATGGACAGTCGATTGAGCCCAAGGCCCACCTGATCTTAATGTCTTAACATATGGATTTGGTAACAAACTAGTACCCAGACAGACAATAGCTTAAGACTAGCCTTTTCCTAAGTGCAGAAGAGTTACATATTAAACATAAGAACAATTAGTAACAGTATATATTTTACCAAAATATATGAACCGGAGATTGNTTATCTATAACTATGTTATATGGACAGTCGATTGAGCCCAAGGCCCACCTGATCTTAATGTCTTAACATATGGATTTGGTAACAAACTAGTACCCAGACAGACAATAGCTTAAGACTAGCCTTTTCCTAAGTGCAGAAGAGTTACATATTAAACATAAGAACAATTAGTAACAGTATATATTTTACCAAAATATATGAACCGGAGATTGAACCCAGATTAATTTAATGATCAGGGTCACTCACTGCTATACAAGTCAGTAATTTTATATTTTTACTACACATTGCAAGAATCAAAACATGTGAAATATTTACACAAATCACCCACACATTATTCAGTTAGTTGTGCATAGTAAAAAATTACCATCTATCTACATTTGATGCAGTATTTTAGTAACCTTGTATTGGTCGGAAAATCTCTAAGACAAGATGGAATTTATATCAAAATACACCAGCTTAATATCTCTTTTGTTTTTGTCAATTTTTGAGAATAAATGGTGTAGATAGTGCCTGTTTAAAAGTTTAGAGTATCAGACACTACAGCTATTGAACATACTTTATATTTTATTTTCGTTAAATATCTGGCATATCTCCGTGAAGCCACTATTTAAATACGCTATGCCGCGTGAGTGCCATTTCAAACATACACAGACAAGTACCTGAATCAATCAAAAACTAACCTGACCAAAGGTGTTGCTTTCTGCAAATAAAGCCCCCAGCTTTCGACAAAATCGTAGCCTTTCCTTTTGCTGTACTGAACAACATCGTTGGCAAGATAAAACAAAACTAGTCTCTGCTCAATCTTCACTCTTTTCAACACATTTAACCAACTCGATACGATCTTCTTATGATGCGTTCTCTGTTTCAAGCACCACGACGACAACGACTGTATACTCTCTTGAGTGTCTTTTAGTTGCATCAACCTCTTTTCGAAGGCTAATGTATTAAAATCTTCAGTTTCACCCATTGTTTTCAACGGAAACAACTTCAGTAATTAACTTCATACAATCATTGTTTTAAGACGTTTGACTACACTGAACATTAACACTATATGAGAAGACCGGCAATTCAGTAATTTGCAATATTTATCAATTTAAAAAGCCACTCAATAAATATAAACGCAAAAAAATGCGGTTAGAAACCGCGCTAACAGCTCAGGGTTAGATTTGACATTTACGTTCACATAAACACAATTTTTCTCTGTTACATTTATCATGAAAGTTTTCAGTTTAGTACTGCAAAATACTTAACTAAAAAAAACCTTATTTTCAAGAATACTAAAGTAAACGCGGAAAAACACAACACGGACAACAATCGCCATTTTGAATTTTGAAATGGAGGAAAGTTTACGTTCCACAACGTAGGCCTTACTTTTAGTTTTAGATTAATTTTCAATGAAATATTAAGAATTCTCTATCGTAACATGATGAAATAAAATGAAAGTAATTCGAAAATAAAACAATTTCTTTTAATTATTTCAATAAATTTTCTTTATGCTCTGTAATTTCACTTTATTTTTTATTTATCAATTCAGTAAATGGAGAAAATAGCTTAAATCTTGTCATTTTAACAATATTTCAGTTTTGTTTTACAGAATCAAATAGAAAAATATTTTAGTATAAAAACTTCAAATGGTTTCAGAACGAAATAAGCTGTGAATACACAACATAAAAAATCTTTTGTCGTCATTGCAAATAGGTACGGTACTTAAATTTATGTCCATTGATCTGTTTTTAAATACTTTTTAGGTAGATTGTAAAAAGGAAAACATAAAAATTTTCACAATTTCTGGTGTACTTATGGAATTACATCTACAGGTGTTTGTTTACTGTGCTGTTAACCCCTTTTGACTAGATATTGATTTTCCCCGTTCTCATTTCTGTCGTTCCCTTGACAGAGGTGAGGCACAAATCACATGCTTAAAATAAATTTTCTTCTTTCATTAATTACCAGCTGGATACTCTTTCAAGGTGCTTAAAATTGTGCTTGTGCACTGTGGAATTATTTCAATATAATTCTTGATACATAACAATGAACACCTAAGTAAGAAAACGACTCGGCAATCGAAGTACGTATGACCTTTTTATTTAAATGAAATACGTTGAGTATTGTAGTGTGGGACGGCTACTTATCAGATGGACCGACGACCTAGTGAAAATCGCTGGGTCACNTCTTTCAAGGTGCTTAAAATTGTGCTTGTGCACTGTGGAATTATTTCAATATAATTCTTGATACATAACAATGAACACCTAAGTAAGAAAACGACTCGGCAATCGAAGTACGTATGACCTTTTTATTTAAATGAAATACGTTGAGTATTGTAGTGTGGGACGGCTACTTATCAGATGGACCGACGACCTAGTGAAAATCGCTGGGTCACATTGATTACAGGTGGAAACGGGTTGACCGCACTAGACACCAATTGAAGAGGCCTATGTTCAGCAGTGAACGGTAGACAGGCTGAGATGATGATACCGATTTTAGTGTTAATATTCTTTTTGAGGAGAACTCAAAACATACGGAAAGCCGTTGTTTAATTGTCGATTGTCATTTTTTCCGTAAAAATTTTATTTTTCCTTCTTTGAGGAAAGAATGCAAGAATTTTACATTAATTCATGTTTAAGAAAAAGGACGGTTTTCAGTGTATTTATACGTCCTATATTTCTAAGTATGAGTGACGAGCATACAGCTTTAAGCGCCTTATTCACGTTCCATCTTGCTGTACGTCCCGCCAAGGCCATGGACGATGCACGATGCATTTAGTGCTTTATTCACGATCCATCACGGCTATACGTCAGCTCAAGGCCGCGGTGCTGGATGTATCAAGCGCGAACAGAATAAATCGAACGAATTAAATGAGAGTGTTTTAATTTATTTAAAATGCCAGCTGTTTTATCAAAACGCCAAAAATGGGAGTCCTTCTGATGTTGTCAGCAGCACCAGAAGAGAGGCAAAAAATAGCAAGAGGTTTTTGATGATTTTTTTTAAACGTGCAGAGTATACTCAAATAATTAATATAATTTTTTTACGCACACCATCAATCCTTGCAGCTTCCCCTAAAGTGGGCCTAAAAAATTGTAATACGTTTATTATTTTTTGTTTATTCATAAAGTCTGCGCTTGAGACATTCCACAAACATGTGGAACTTATCTTTATCTTTCAATAAATCTTGAAAGTGTTTCACGATCTATTTTGACGTGCAGTCTCCTCTCGAAACAAGGTCTAAATGTAAAATCTGCTGTACAGCAAGTCTATACACGATCAAGCACGCACGACGCAGGACCGCTCTGACGTACGTCCACGTTATTCACTGTCTATCTGCACGACGTTCGCGGTGGTGGGGGCGCTCGCTGGATGCAAAATTGGTCCTGCAAATCCAGCAAACAATTCATAATCATTATCGACGTACGTCAAGCCTATTCATGGTACTTTTGCATCGTGCATCGTGCATGGCCTGGGCGGGACGTACAGCAAGATGGATCGTGAATAAAGCGCTTTTTTTGGGTGGTGAGTGGTTACCGTCGCTTATGGACGTCAGCAATGTCAGGGGCAAAGTCAAGCCTCTGCCTACTAAAATCCATGTAATAAAACACGTAGGAGAAAGGAGGAACATTAGCCATCTCCGCATCAATCAATCAGATCTCTACTTTGGTTAATCTTGCATATTTAGTGTTAGTACGTTCTGTTATAGTCAAATAATAATTATAAAAATACTTTTATGTCTACGACTCACGAAAACAGAAGAAAATATTATTTTAATTTTTTTGGTAATAGTGAATTATTTCATGAAAATTTTATTACTTTTACGACAATTAGTTTTATTTTTTTGGTCTTAATTTAGTGGTCGGTTTTATTCCTTCAAATAGTCTAAATACGAATTGACATTCGCATCACATACACATCCAAGAAACAACTAGGAAAAAGAAAATAAGGAATTATCAGTCATAGCAGAATTCAACTAGAGTCACAACATTCGATCGCATTCAATTAAAAAAAAAAAGCATTTGGTTTCATTCTTTATTTTTCGACAATGAAAAATGTGAACACTAAACGTTATTCTATATATATGTGAAAAAAAACTATATCTGATAGGGACTTTTTGGCGCGAACGTTTTATTTTGTCTATTTAGTGTTTCTTCAGGTTTAAACGTGTAATAACGGTGGCTTATTAATTGTTTACTATCTGTGAAAGTGCACATATGTGGGAAAATGAAACAAAGTCGCTGAACGTAACTTCTCGGGATCTTCCAAACAGTTCACTAATAAAGTATCAGTAAACGACCACCATTTTACTGAGATTACATTTCATCCCATATCATTTTATCTCATATCATTTTATTTCACTTCATGCCATGTTTAATATTAATCAACTTCATTTCATTTCTTAGTATAATTTTTCATAGTTTTCATTATAAATTAAAACAAGACTTGACCTAAAGGTCTTAGTTACCAGGTTATAAAATCCCTTAAAAAAATGTATCTGACAGCTGACAATTTGATGGCAAAGTCAAAATGACCTTAACATCCCAAATTTCCCGATAAAACAAAATTTTCTTGTTTTCCACTTGCTAGATAATACTACCTATTTTATTTAGTCTGTGCATGCATATTATAGATAATATAATTAATACATGTGTGATTATCACTGATCTGTGGTTAAGGGCGGGGTAATAAAATTCTTATCGTAGATAGAGATATTAACATTTAAATGAGGTGCTCATTGGCAAGTTAATTTTCAAATGAAAGTTTAATAAAAATAGTATTACATTGACATTTAGATATATTTTTAAATATCAAAAATATATGTAACATTAATGAGTGTATAAAGTAAAAGGTAAGCTTTAGTTACAAATTGCAATTGGATCTTTAATTACTTTTTAATTGCCACATTTGGCAGCACACAACCGCACCTGGTGGTAAGTGGTGACCATCGCTCATGGACATAAGCAATTACTGGAACATATCTGGACACTGTTTACTGCTGAGGACTGTCCTCAAACCTCATTGGAAGAACGACTTGTCATATAGCTCGGGAAATAGCGCGAAGATTTCCACCTGAAACGGGAAAAGGTGTCTGGAACTACTTCACCGTGGATGGGTGTAGTGTTTTCAGATGGTATTAATGAACTCTGCTCCGATGGCGATGCGATGGTAAAAAGGAGATGGAAGGAAGGAAGAGAACGAAATATTATTTCTTTACAGTCATGCCTAAAGTAATTTTTTTAAGTATATAGAAGACTTCTTGTCTTTTATGTAGGACTTTCAAAAAATTAAATTTGCACAATTATAATATAAAATTTTTTTTTACCAGAAATTCTGTGAGTTCTGGTGAACATCCAACACCAGGGTAGCTATGAGCATGTGCATCCATCTATTCAATAAACATGAAAAAGATTTGATCAGAATGTCCAAGGTTTAAAGTCTTGCATTCAAATTCTATATTTCCCCTTTTGGACACAAATAAAAAAACCTTGTTTAGTTGTTAGATAACTCATTATTGGGATATACTGCCGATTTTCATCATTCCGGTTTCAGTGGTTGTGTGTGTGCTTTGATGAATCAGTTTGTGAGTATAATATAATTATTTACAAAGGTATGCATGTGTGGAACCAATCATAGTCGATTTACTATAGTAATGTTGTTTGGTAAATTACTATTGAATGGAAAATTTAATATGTACATCAGATATACATACATAGGAAGTCAAATAAATCTTCAAAAAAAATTGTGATTGCATTCCAAGGTCTACAAAATTAGATAAAAAGAAGTTCAAAAAATTGAATTTTTAATGCCAATTGTCTATTCAAATTCAATGATGAAATGTTCCTCCCAATAATGAGTTAAACAGTTAACATATAACGCACATTGCCTTCCATTGAAACATGACTCCTACTGATTGTTATAGTTTAGTATTTCATTATTATTTAGTCTGAGTTTAAACCAAAAATACATTTTTATTCTACAAGTGAATAAAGTCTCAAGTGCTGATTGCCAACACGATTTCATATTGTCATTATCTAACAAATATCCACCATGTTAAAACTATACAGGTAGGGCATGAATGACAATGGAAAATTGTTCCACAGAGCAGGTGCCTTGTTTTCTCGACTGACAGTGTAAAAATAGAATGTAAATGTGTGCTTACGGTACAGAGCTTGCATATATGTAAACTTATCTTGGAAGTGTTATTAATGCAATTCGGACTGTTAAGTAGACTATAAGTAGTATATTAATGATTTTTTAAATGAAAAAAAATTTAGTAATTGAGCAGTGGTGTGTTAGGACTATCAGAGATAAAATTACAAGAGAGTGCACGAAGCAGTTATTGTTTTAAGAATGACGATACGATAATATCTCGTGGAACGTTCAAGATAATCTCCATCTGTTATATTACGTGCCTCCAGATGTTCTGTTTATTGTCGAATATTACATCTAGTAGCTAGCTGTTGCTTTAGTCTAAAAATCAGTTTATTAAGTAGTGGTCTAATCTGTTATTGCTAATCCATTTTTAATCCATATCAAGGAAATTTTAAATACAATGGCTTTCAATTGATAAAAATTTGGAATTTATCAAAGATAATTTTTTGGAACGAAGTTCCTTATCGCGCGTTGTGAAAGGGGGCTAGACGGAAAAAGTTCTTACGAAAAGTTGTCACGACACTTTTTAGATCCGTCATTCTGACCAATCAACGTCTAGGCGCTTATCGCGTGACATTGCTCGTATAGTAACCGGCAAACATCGTGAGCAAATGACCTTGACTGCGCAGAACCGAATTTTAGATCACTTTGGTGGTGAGGGTGAGGCGCGACGGCAGGGGAAATCGTATCGAGCGCGTTATTGGTAGATCAGTCGAACCTTGCGTCCCGCACCGCGCCTTCGTTCCGCTTGCTCCCAAAAGTACGCTTGCGTACAGTGNTTTAAACCCAAAATACATTTTTATTCTACAAGTGAATAAAGCCCCAAGTGCTTATTGCCTACACTATTTCATATTGTCATTATCTAACAAATATCCACCATGTTAAAACTATACAGGTAGGGCATGAATGACAATGGGAAATTGTTCCACAGAGCAGGTGCCTTGTTTTCTTGACTGAGAGTGTAAACATGGAATGTAAATATGTGGTTACAGTACAGAACTTGCATATATGTAAACTTATCTCGGAAGTGTTATTAATGCAATTCGGACTGTTAAGTAGACTATAAGTAGTATAAATGATTTTTTTAATGAAAAAAATTTTAGTAATTGAGCTTTTTTTTTTTTTTTTTCCTACCTAAGCTGATAGCCTTGAGAGGCTATGTCAGCGTAACCCTAACTTTAGTAGGTGAGCTCACGGGGCTCAAACCTGACGATGTTGCTAACACGAACCCTAGCAAGAGTCGTGCTTCGCAGAATCTACCACCGGATCGGAAACGCGACCCACTGAGAAGATCCGGCGAGAAACTCAGTGGGCTGTATCTGAGAGTTAATTTACTCGTCGAGCCCTTCGACGCAAGCGTCGGGTTCGACGAGAACGGTGACCGGTGCTTGAAGTACCTAAAAGCACCGTTAGTGGATCGGGAGGATCCGAGATGACGTGTTTTGGGCGACGTCGACTGCTTTCCATTCTGTCCGCAGGATCGGGAATGGTAATTGAGCAGTGGTCTGTTAGGACTATCAGAGATAAAATCACTAGAGAGTGCACGAAGCAGTTATTGTTTTAAGAATGACAATACGATAATATCTCGTGGAACGTTCAAGATAATCTCCATCTGTTATATTACGTGCCTCCATAATGTTCTGTTTATTGTCGAATATTACATCTAGTAGCTAGCTGTTGCTTTAGTCTAAAAATCAGTTTATTAAGTAGTGGTCTAATCTGTTATTGCTAATCCATTTTTAATCCTTATCAAGGAAATTTTAAATACAATGGCTTTCAATTGATAAAAATTTGGAATTTATCAAAGATTATTTTTTTGGTATCTCGGTGTGGTTTTTGTAATGTAGTAAGTTTTATTTATAATAATATTTCTATAGATGCACCTACAACCTCACTTACCATCTGGTAATCCATGAGCGACGATCCATGGCCGTATGCTTGTTACTATAATAATAATTAAAAAAAAAAAATTCAATAAAAATCAGCAATGAAATTGAATGACAGCTTCACAAACCTTTTGACAATTTTGAAATTAATAGTTATTTCCTAAAAATATTTTAAGATTACGATATAAATGGGTAGTTATAATTTTTATAACAACGGAAGAAATATAACTGGACATAATTTTTGCAATGTATTAAAATTATAGCAGAATTTAATTTTATTTCAGGTCAAAATGATTCTAACTGGGAAAAATCTCGGCGAGAGGCAACGTGAACTAAACAACAAAGTCAACGAAGCCTTCTCGAATAAAGTAGATTTTGAACACGTTAGATATGAACCAGAACATTCTGACGTCGACAGATTGTTCAAAATCGATTTGGCATCGAAATATAAAAATCTCGATTATATTTTGGAAACGATAAAATGCGGCGACAGTTTGTATGTTTCGCGAGCTTTGAAAAGCTCGTGGCTATTCGAAGATGAATATTCACATATCATAAATGTAGACTACCTGCACAACGAATTATTTCCGTACATGTCGTTTAAAATGGTAAGGAAGCTATTGACAATTGTCTCTATGCACGTGAAAGACGAGAAGATAATTGAATTTTATAATTACTGCAAAAAACAGCGACTAACACAGAACGGCTACAAGTTCCTCGTACGCACCTCAGAGTCGTTTAGGTTGCAAAATGTGCCGGATGTTAATTCTCTGATTGACAAGCAAATGCTGACGTACTACATCGGAGATTCGTTCCCTATAGCCACATACTGCTTTGAAAACACTCCCGAGAGCGAACATAACGACATGCTCGCGCAGTTCAGCTATTTGTATGCTGTGTCTGCAGATAAATTTTTGGATATGTTGGAAAAGTTTTGGTCGGACGATGGATTCGAATTGAATCAGAAGGCAATCGGTTTGCGAATTTCAAAAGATATAATGACCAAACACAAGACCCGTCTTTACAATCTTCCCTTGTTCTATCTGAGAATTGTGCGTAGGCCTGTTCTGCTTAAGTTTAGCACGGTACAGGATGCTAAATTCTATTTGACAGTATTGCTGCCTGATAGTATTACTCAATTTTGGCGTATGCATTTTTATTCAAAGTATAAATACATTTTCGAATTGATACCGTTTGAAGAAAGGTTAATAGAATTCGAAAAGATCTTCAAGAAAAAATGGCCTAATGAAGAGTTTCGACTGAGCCCTCATTTTTATCAAAATCGCTATTTCGATCTAATGAGGATAGATATTAAAGAAGCATGGTCTCTGCAGCAAATCGAAAGAGGTGTAGAGTTAAGTGGTACCGAAAATGATTTCACGCTCTATAGGTTTGTAAGATTTGAGAAGGCGTTTGAAGAATTGAAAAAGAAAATAAAGGTCACCAAAAAATTAGACACCAGGGCAGAAATGTTAATTGTGTTAGTGAAATCTGCAAAAACTGATAGAGACATTGAAAAGGTACTACGATATTTTTATGAAAGACACATCAATGAGATGCTACACGTCAGAGAGATGTTTGTTGAAGCCGTTATGACTGAACACAATGTATACAAATTTGATCTTCCATGTTGGGAGGCTTACAACCAATTACTTTATAACTTGAGAATATACGAACCCGATTATCACAGCCCTAAAAGCGATTTCAAAATAATGCCACTAATTTACAATATAATCAATAGAATAGAGATTCCGAAGAATATCAGCAGGTTTCTGGAAAGCGGCGTATACTTTAACTTCTTCAGGGTGCAAGTTGGCTCTCTAACGAAGGAAGAATTCGAAATGGTTTATGAATACGTTTTATCTTATTATTTAAATAGGATCAACGATATTGAAACGCAACCGTCCAATGAGGAATTAAAACCAAGGATAAGAACATACGTACATTATATTTTGGATCTCTTGTATCATTTCAATAAAACCATCCACAATATACCGGAGGTCTTAGAAAACTATATACTAGCTGATATACAGGAGTTCCAAAATCACCATCTCCTCAAAAACGAACTTCGTTACACTGATAAGTTGACTCAAGGGAAGCTATATAAATTTCTTAAACAAGACGTTTCTGTTTTTCTTGCCAATCTCCCGCGCCTAGAAGAAATCTTCGGCGTACAAATGCTTCGTATCCGAGTCGCTAGTGTATTATCAAAACTCAAGATATATTTCAATCACGATATAGCCAAAGATGTCTTGAGCATATACGAAAGAAACCTATGTAGAGAAGCGTACTACTACACAACCGCAAACGATATAGTCTATGGAATTTTGAAACTGGGCGATACAGATTATGTAATTAATTTTATGGAGAAATTCGTTCCCACCGAAACCAAGATCCATTTCGATCAAATAGATGGGAACACACTGCTCACGCAACAGGCTATTTGCAGGTTCATGTGTTTCACGCGTCCTCCACTACCATTGCATTACGTTCACAAATATCTCAGGGGGGATTACGTAAAGTTTTGTCTGTCGATATTCAATTCTTATTTGGCCAAATTGCCGAGACCAGCTTGCCTGGAGTTCGTTAAGTCATTAATTGACAAGCCGGTTTCGGTTCAAAAGCATGGCATACGTTTGGCGTTCCAATGCTTGGATGTCGAGGATTTGAAGAATATAATCGTTGAAGTGTGGACGCAAAACGACAACGTATCTCTGAGATCGGTCATTTACAAGAATCTCTATCATAAGATACTTAAATCGGATCCGGATATCAGGAATGCCTTATTTGATTTACTGAAAAATTTCACTCTGACATTACGGCCTACTGATGACGAGGACTTGATCAGTTTGGGTGCTTCGGACAGATTACCATACGAACTGAAGGGAGAATACATAGAGACTCTTTGGAATGTAGTTGATAATATGCCGTTGACCGGTACCTACATAACCATGAGGGAGATTGTTGTCAAATGCATGAGCAAAAACGTGCACTTGGTGCGCGACGCGGTCCTCAGAGATTTGACGGAAAAGACAATAAGGAACGCTTTATCTGGATTACAATTTCAAGAAGCAAAATTCGTGGACGACTTAACTAAAGCCAAATGGAAATTCGTCGCTAAATACCTTACATACTTTAAGAATGAAAACGATTTCAATAGAAAATCCGCGAAGGTTTTGAACGTGCTCGAAGATTGTATTATTCGTTGGAGGACCGTCAACACGGAAGTGTACGTGTTTAGGCGCTTGTTCGAAGAATTCCTGAACGACATAGACGTATTCAGTTTTGAAAACAATCTTTCATCATACAAATACATGAACGAAATGTACAAGAGGATTTTGGACGTTATTTTTAAATCGTTGCGGATCGAAGAAGTTTACGAAAGGATTTGGTTCCTGAAGTTCAGTATGGTGGCGAAAGAGGCCGTTATGTCTGTGGAACCGAAAATTCGAGAGTTCAACATTGATTTGATCGATAAATGCATTGAGAATTTCAGTGTAGGATTCGCGAAACTGTTCAAAGAAATGTTGGATAGTAAATTTTATTTTAAAATTGTCGCCCTCGCCGTCACCGCCCCACTTGAGCTACAAATAATGAACATGCTAGGCGACTTCCAATGTTGGGACGAGAAGAAGAAAGTTGACACATTCGTTCGTATTGGATACGAATTGACCAAAGTTGACGATTTCGACCATTACGTCTTTGCGATGTTCTTGCTGCCCAAAGACCCCGATGAATGTACCTACATCGAGATTTATAAGGAAGTTATGAAGAAATTGAAAGATTTAAATAACAAGGAGATGAATATTTTCATGTACAGAAAGTACGTCGAACCCAACTACACACGCCACCCATTTTATTCATTTAATTATTAACTACCCACGAGTAACAAAACTCCGCCTACAATCGATGCTTATGTTTCGCACGACAAGACCGACGACCGCGCGCCATCTATCGGAATGTAGTAGTACTGTTTCAGATACCTTCCAGAAGTGCAACAATTACAAAGATTGCAACACGAAGAAACAAGCAAATCCTTTAATTTGAAATATTATAAAATCAAGTAACGATATCAATCACGAAACAGAGGAGATTTGGAAAAATATAAGTCCGAAAGTTAACGAATAAAGTTCCGAAGAGCTTTCGGGCCTTCCGTTTACCGGGCTTCACCCGAAGAATTTGCCTTTATCGTGTCCTGTAATAAATTATTAATCAGACGGCGCGTCATGCTCATAATAGTTTCTGTTGTAGCATTTAGGATACGCAAGTCGGATTTTATGGATTTTAGTTACCACTAATTTTCCGAAGAATAAAAGTCCAAAGTTTATTCAAAATAAGTAAATTTCGAAAACTTTTGTGCCACACATATCGTGAATTTTATCCATAATATGTCATAAATACTCTTAGAGATAAAATAAGATAATTAATTTTCCTTAGAATTGTCAGTGACGCCACAAATATCACAAGCGATTTTATCAAAATGATATGCATACCAATTATTTTTGTGATAAACATTTTTTGCATTTACATTAAAATATATATGTATATTTCTACCTATTTTATTACCAAACTAGGAATCCAACTAGCCAATTCCGTCTTCTGAAAAAAGTTGAGTTATTTTTGTATGTCTTTACTATTTATTGTATATTTTTATGTTTTAACCTTTTCTAATATGTGTAATAATAATACGCTTTTAGATATATTAAAAAAGTGTCGTGAGTCAATGTTGTAAAAGATTAAATGTAAGTAAACATCAAATAGTTCTCTTGTTGTATAAAACTAAATGTTGTGTCTTAGTTACTCGATTGTTTGTGTGTCTAAATATAAAGCAGAGTAGATATCTACTGGGGATACTAGTAAGATCATACTATACATCCAGTGGTAGACTGCGAAGCACTGCCCTTGGTAGGGCTAGTTCTCCCGAGTTGAGCCCGTGAGCTCACCTACCAGCCCAGGCATAGCTGGGATAGCCCTTTAGCCCCAGAATAGGTAGAAAAAATTACTACACAACACGTGAATCTGTGAATATTTTTTTTTCATCTGGCGTGTTTGAACAAACAACTAAAAATCTTGGTGCAAATATTGAATGTAAATCCTATCCGAATAATAGTGCCATATCTATCGATAATATTAGAATCGATTACAATTTGAATTACAAAACGTTTGCATAATTGATGTCCCACCATTGCTTTTATCATTACCTATTCAGTCTAATTATTTCCGACATTTCGAATAATTTACAGTTTTCGTGGCCGCAGACAATTATGGCCCGATTATGTTCTAAGCGAAATTAAACAGTAAAAATGGTTTAAATAATTCGGTGATTCGCAAAGAATGATGATAATTACTTTAACTCTCCTAATGTCGAAATTTTTGCATCGATAACTACTAGTCGTTTTCATGAAAAAATTGAGGCGCGAAATTTAATCAGCTCCCTTCACTTGTTTTTTTTAATTTGACATCGTTTTTAAATTCACATCTTTTTTCCCCTACCTGTGCTGATAGCCTTGAGAGGCTATTTCAGCTTCGCCATGACGTGTAGGTGAGCCTCACGGGGCTCAAACCACAAGTGTTGTTAACAATGGCCTTAGCAAGAGCAGTGCTTCGCAGAATCTACCACCGGATCGGAAACGCGACCCACTGAGAAGATCCGACGAGAAACTCAGTGAGCTGTGTCTATGGAAACACATCTTCAACGAATCGATAGGGAACGCACCTAAAGTTATTGCTGCTTGTTTTAATGACAAGGAGCATACTAATGCGTTCGCTTTCGTAAGGGCGCGTCCAACGCCCAGTGTGTCGTTATGCTTTATATTCAAACATACTCAGCTCGAAATTATTATCATTCAGAAAGTGATAGCTTTTAGGCAAATTTCATTTCAGGCCTACCAGTGAGCTCTCTTAGTTTATTAACACATTCACGCCGGCGTGTACCACCGGTGATTCACACAGAATTGTCTGGACGTATACAATGTGTGCAGTGTGCTTAGTATGAGTTTTTTAACGTTCTCGATAGCGTAAAAGTTACGCGTAAAGTTGTATGGAATGGGATCGTTTGCATACGTTTGCCGCTAGGGGCGCTGTTCCAACTGTATACAAAATTGGCTTGACTTTTACGCTATCGAGAACGTTAAGAAACTCGCACTAAGCACACCGAAGGCGAGTGTTTTAACGGCAAACGTAGGGGCGGTGTTCCAACTCCATATAAATTCGAGTTAACGTTTACGCGATCGAAAAGTTAAAAAACTCCGCAATAAGCACACTGAACACATAACCTCAATAGCGTTAAAAGATTATTGCCTGAAAACCGCTATCCTTACGATAATCCTTTGTTGAAACATTTTGTTCGGACCCATTACCGAAAATCTCATTACAGCCACCTATAGGCGAGAAACATGAACTGCAGCGCCGGCGTGAATGTGTTAAGGTGTAAACGTCAATAGAACTATCCAATGAGGTTTATTTGTTATACTTAGCTATTTATGCTCAATGCTCTTAAGTACCGATGAGTAGCGAGAATCGCCTCTGAAGGCCTTTATACAATAGAGGCTGATTTTTGTATCGTCAGATGGAATCAAGATTGAATTGATATAAAAAAAAAATGTGAATATATAAAGGCTTCTTAACAGACCTATTAGCTTATTACGTATGTGTTATTTTTTTTTTGTAATGGAATCTTTGAACGTTATTTTATATCGATTCACCAGCCAATGCTATGACTAAACAAAGAGGTAATGCAAATCAAGATCAAATCGTTATTGTAATCTACATTGTCTATATTATATTATAATCTATGGGCTAAATATGGATAGTATGAAAGTTTAGTTAAATTAAAATTTTCGGATAGTTCTATTGACGGCAATTTAAAGTTAGTAGATCAGGGCACCGACCTAAATATTTTAGTAGATATCCTGTGATCTAGTATTTATGTAACGTTCTGATTATTGGATCGGATCCATGTTTACTTGCTATTGTATGTTGAAATGTGTAATAAAAAACATGTAAAAGAAGATTACGTTTTTCATTGCAATGTATTTTTCTTGTCCTATATCGACGCTTGAAAGGCAAACGTGACTAAGCGACAAGGCGTGAACTTTACAGTAGACTAATTTAAAGTTGAAATACCTGGAAAAAAATGTTTAACGAATCTAGCTGTACTATAATCTATCTAGTAGCTGTAGGATTGAAATGATTTGAATAGACCTAGAATTTTTTTTTTTGCGCATCGAATATGGTTATTGCCTATCATTTATGTACAAAGCAGTTATTGTCGCTTAGTCACGTTGCCTTTCAAGCGTCGATATGTTTTCTAAAGAAACTACGTTAAAGTTTGTTTATTTCATAATAAAACAACATGTAATTATGCAAATTTATTTTTGATAACTACGAAAAAAAAAAACTGGCAACATCAAATATTTCGTATAAAAATAATTATAACAACGGATTGTACATACGCTACGCCAACAAAGCCATTACAAACATTATCACGACGATTCGTTTTTTTTTTTTAATTACGGAGAGACTTGTAAGCGCTTGTATTTGACAGATTATTATGTCACTTGCAGTGAATAATTATTTGTTTAATATATATTTGTATTAATCAATGAATACTGGAATACAAAATTGACGAGTTCGCTTCAAGATCTTAATAAAAAAAAGCACTCGCGAAAATGAGTATTACAACAATTATTATTGCTTTAACAAGACAAAAAGCTTAAGAAAAATATAGCACATTTTTTTAACGAATACACTAAATAATTTCAAATTTCAAACTTGTCACGAGCCTATTTATAAAATTGTGGTTTGAAATGCATGACGTGTTTATTTCATTTTCAATTAAATTTGGTAAACGTTTTGGGATTAATTTATCGTACTACTATGCAGATGCATAGTGGTAGTAAAGAGTCACCACTTTTTCTCTCTATTTTCAGGTCAGTTTATTTTTTTTATTACTATGATTTTTTTTGACATTCGAACGTAAAAAAACATTTGAGTTATTTAAAATTAAATAAATTCTATCGTATAATCAATTACGTTAACTAGTTCAGATAAAATACGTAACTCTGAAGCTACCTACTTACCTAATAATAATTACTAAAGCCTTTACTGTTTAAAAATCTATGTAAAATTCAACAGGTGCGTTAACATAACTATCAATTAATTGACAAGCCTTAGAACAAATCAATAATATAAAAGTGATTGTAAATACATTAGCAAAATATCTCTGATGCCCTTTGCAAAATATTCAAAAAGTATATTTTCGATGTAAACCCCTTTAGTTATAATACTTAGATAAAAACAATATAAAACTTCCACTTTGTATTAAATGAAAATACACAAAATAAAGATATACTTGAGTATTGTTACATGTCTATAGTTATAAACAAACAATAATGCAGTGCGCCTTAACTAAGTAATTTATCCTATGACTTTATGGGTTTTCCATGTGCTATTGTTAAAATTACATTAGGAATATCGAGCACAGAAAAAGTACGAAGAGCTCATGTTTGGTCTTTCGAGCCGGATCAACATTTCGGCTTCAGATTTTTTTTTAACTCGTATAGAACAATAAAAACAACGCTAGAAATGACAAAAGACTAACTTTTAAAGAGGTAGGGGCACTTCGAAGTTTAATGGAAGAAGCTGCATGGAGAAATATAACACACAAGATCTGACAAAATTATTTTCAGCCGAAAAATAACTGGATTTGTTAATAGGACGGATTGCCTTTGCACAGTAACCAGAACCTATTTGTTTTATGTTAAGGTATTTAACATGTCTTTTAACGGAGAGATGAGATATCGCTTCAAAGCACGCGTTTTTTTTTTTTTAAATAAATTAGTATGATACAAACAATTCTGACGTCACTTGTGGTGTGATGGTCGTAAACGTAATCAGTATTATGTAACCATTGCAATAAAAAAATGTTTTTTATAAAAAAAAATTATTGCTTAAGATGGGTGGATGAGCTCACAGCCCACCTGGTGTTAAGTGGTTACTGGAGCCCAGAGACATCTACAACGTAAATGCGCCATCCACCTTGAGATATAAGTTCTAAGATCTCATAGTTACAACGGCTGCCCAACCCTTCAAACCGAAACGCATTACTGCTTCACGGAGGAAATAGGCAGGGTGGTGGTACCTACCCGCGCGGACTCACAAGACGTCCTACCACCAGTAAATACACATACATATTGCAGGTAAAACTTAATATCTATATGAATAGTTCAACACGTATAAATGATAGGTTATTTTTCAGAACTTAGCGATTGAAGCTGATGAACTACACGTTTGACTAGCCATAAGAAATTATTGTCGCACAAATTGCTTTTAAAATTTTCAAAAAACAAAAGCATCACTTCCTAACCTAAAAACATCAACATTGAAAATATTACATCAAAACTTTTATCAAAAACTTTTCAAAATATTTCACATTCCCCCAACAGTTTTGACAAAAAACTTCATTTTTTTATGCGTTTATATTTCCCACAATGACTTTCGGTGACTTACTTCAATAGTTAAAACAGTCTAAGGTGTTATTTACGTTTCGTGTATGTAAAAATACTTCTGCAGTAAAATCAATTCCCAGTGTAAACATTAATCATGATAAAGTAATATTTTTTTACTTAAAACTGGCATAAAGTTAAAACTATTGCCATAAAATAATAAGTAATATTTGACGAATGGGGTCAACGACCTTCCACGAGCGCCCGGTCTGATTACCCACGGGAATACGCAAGGTGAAATTTTCTTGTTTTTTCTACGCTTTCTTTCAAGCAAAACTTTAGCTGTATCAACGAGCAGGTTATTTCTCCAAATTCATGATGCATATGCAATGTTTTAATTCTTATTTACTACACGTTAAGGTTCATATTTATGATGTTTAAATTATTAAAAAGTCTGTACCATACCTATATTCGCTTAACGTACGATTTTGACCCGTCCTACTATTGTAATAAGTCAACGGTCTTGAAGGGAGATATAAAACTCTTGATCGAGGAATATTTAAATCATAGTTTTTCATTTTAATGTTAAGCCGTGCATCCTATTTTAATGCAATTAGGGCCGTTGCAACGCTCATATAAAAAAAAATCAATTTGACAACTGGAATCGATACGAAACTGACAACATCGATAAAACATCTACAACAATACTGTTTTATATTACGTACAGACTATTTATGTCTATATAAATCTAATTAACAGGCGTTAACTATGTTTATTAATGTTAAGCTAACTAATCAATTGTACTGTACTGTATTTTTAATCGATAAATATCGATTTTTCAATCATGAAATATTTAATTAATTAACGCGTTAAATATTGTTTTAGAAAAAAATAATATAATATTCGATTCATGTGACCACAAAAACTGCAATCATAGTGGCTTTCTCACAAAGACAAAATGAGGTATGTATTTATATACCACAAAATCGACATTTATCGACACAACCCTTCAATATTAACAACATTTACGTAGTTACTGCAACGTCTTTAATGCGACTCGCCCTCGCGTTCGTCGGTGCCCAACCTTAGGGCCCGTCTACGTGGAAGGTCGAGGCTTTACATCATCGACCTGTATCAACTGCTCGATTGGAATCAAAGACAGCTCTCCTCCCAGCATCGGCGCTGGGTGACTCTGAAAGAGAAGACGCTGGTTTTAGACAATCAATTTATATTTTTCAAATACTTAGGGCACGATCCTGAGCTTGTTCTAGGTGAGTTGGGTTACATAGTAATATAAGGATTTTAAAAACAAAAAATTTCAATCGATATTTTAAAAACAACACTCAATATATTTTTTGCTATGTGTAGGAAGATGAGATCAATACAAATAAATAAAATTGGAGTGTCTGTTTGTAATAATAAAATAATCACTTTTTACAAAATGCGTAAGTACACATAGTACCACAGTATGTACCTCAGTGTGTATGTACCACAGTACATACACCAAAATATTTTTATTATTATTTTTGTCTATCTGTCTGTTTTTTCTATTTGTTCCGGCTAATCTCTGGAACGGCTGGACCAATTTTGACGAGGCTTTCACTGATAGGTACTTGACGATGGAGTAACTTAGGCTACTTTTTTTCGACTAGCTTCGCCCCGCGGCGTCATTAAATATACACAGTGAAGATGTTACTAAAGCACCGAGAAGTTTATTTGAGGTAGAACTAGATAGGACGGCGACATCTACCGGTTCTATATCGGTACTACAAGCCAACAACCTCACTATTGGATATATCAGTGTGTTTGTGTGTTATGTGCCGTGGTTGACTATGGAAGAGAATCGTTTGTTAGCGACAGGGCCCAGAAACAGCGATACTTTAAGACAATTTTTTTTTGTATGGAAACTAGCGACATCTTGTAGCGAATGCCCTTAAACTTATATGCTGTTAAAGTTAAGACATTTAATTATTGTATAACTAAACAGAAAATAAAAAAAATCACAAATCATACAAGTCTTTATTTGTTATAGACAAATTGATGAAATTTTATCAACTTGTGGTTTCTGAAAATTTACCAAATCCTTCATTAAAAATAAAATATAGGATGGGTAATATGTTACTGCCATCTACAGGAGCGATGAGGAAATAATCGAAGCGAAGCCATCTAGTGGCCGACGCCCGTAAACATTTTTGTTGAGTGCTTGAGTTGCTTAGCTATAACTGATTTATGTGTATTATCTATGGTTGGCGACGCGAGCCCATAGAGCACGTACCGGCGTGACGGGCGGCTCCTTGGTGTTGGGGGCGGCGCCCCCGGCCGCTGCCTCCCGCGCCCGCTTGAGGCCGAGCGAGAACACCGCCACCGACCTCACACGCTTCACCAACGCGGCCTTGGCGCGGGACCGACCTGCCACACGCACTCTCCGTTTTTATTTCTTAGATGGGTAAACGAGATCACAGCCACCTGGTGTTAAGTGGATACTGGAGCCCATAGACATCTACAACGTAAATGCGTCACCCACCTTGAGATATAAGTTCTAAGGTCTCAAGTATAGTTACAACGGCTGCCCCACCCTTCAAACCGAAACGCATTACTGCTTCACGGCAGAAATAGGCAGTGTGGTGGTACCTACCTGCGCGGACTCACAAGAGCTCCTACCACTTGTACATACCGTACATATCAGAACGAGTTCTCCGTTAACCACTTTGAATGTTACTAAGAGCGTTGACCCCATTGAGTGATATGAACTGTCACAAACATACACGTACTGACCGCTTTTGTCCTTGGGCTTGTCGTCTTCACTTGAGGTCATGCTCGCGTCGGCCGGCACGGCGTTGAGGTCCGGCTCGGAAGCGCCCGCGCTGACGGTCCCGGAGAGCTCCTGGACACAAGGAGTCGTTTGTTCGAATATTTGACTCAAATATCTATCTCTTTATTTTTATTTATTTCTTTTTATATTTATTTTATTTACATTATTACACGCCGGGGTTCGAGATAAATAAAAATTCTACCGAATCACAAGTTAACACTGTTTTGTAACTTAGCACACTCACAAAAACTAAAATTTTTAATTCACTTCTTCCGCTTCGCATCGTTCGCTGTTTCGCTTCAAGAAGTTCCTTTTACTAACTGACTGCGTGCCATCTCTACAACGCTTTTATAATCGAAACCACATCCCTAGAACTATCGAGAATATTCCACACATCTCTAGTATTGTGTTTCCTTTATCTAATAATAGATGGCGTTGTACTTCTCGGGCGTTCTAAATGCTACTAGATCCTTCGATATTCGTTCGACTTTTCGATGCGATAGATCACGTTACTGTAACCGTTGTAACGATAAGTTCGAGAGTCGTACCTGCAGGGCGGGGTTGGGGGGCGGGCGGTGGAGCGCGGGGTGCGGCAGGCAGTGCGCCGAGCGGTGCAGCGGCTCATCCCGCAGCCCGCGCACACCGAGTAGCGACAGCGGGGTCCCCGGAGCCGCTTCCTAGGACACATTACGCTGACCGATCATTACATTCTCTAAGCTTATTATTAAACTAAATTTTCAAGCAGTTATTATTATAATTTTTTCTACCCTACCCTTTAGAGGCTATTTCAGCCGCCAATTCCACTGCTTGATATATCTAGCTTTTGTTCAGCGTAGGTTGACTAATGAGTTCCCGGCCCCTCCGGTTCTCCTACCTATGCTGATAGCTTTGAGAGGCTATTTTAGCTTCGCCTTGACGTATGGGTCACGGGACTCAAGCCGGGAGTGTTACTAGCACTGACCCTACAAGAGCAGTCCTTCGCAGAATCTACCACCAGATCGGAAACGCGATCCAATGAGAAGATTCGACGAGAAACTCAGTGGGCTGTGTCTATGGGTTAATTTACTCGTTAAAACCTGCGTCACAAGCGACAGGTTCGGCGAGGACGGTGACTGGTGCTTGTGGTACCTAAAAACACAGTTAGAGGATCGGGAGGATCCGTAACGACGTGGGTAGATCGTAGTAAAAGCATTAAGCTATGAAAACACTTTTTTTTTTTTCTTTTTNTTCGTGGCAGGTGTAGACAGAATGCTGTTAAGAACCAACACGGGCGGCGATGCGCCATCCAAGCCCATCAGCACTTTAACAATTTTTTTTTTTTTTTTTTTCGGGTAGAGGGCCGAACCTCCTACGAGGTCCCCGCGCAAAAGGGGCGCGCGGGGTATGTGAGACTCAACGATCTGCATGGTGTTGTGAGCAGACCGCGGGCCCAAGGATTTTAGGACCCACCCACTAAACGACTCCCCTGCACTCTTACACCCGACGTCCGATCCCCTCCGAGGTCAGAACCCGGATGAGGTAAGCTATGAAAACCCTACAACATAATGTTTTTTTAATTTATAATAAATACTTAGGGCCCATATATAGTTTCAAAAATTTAATTTAACTTAACTACATTAAGCAAAACGATAAAATTGCTAATCATAGTATTTTAACATCCTTAGGACTAAAATTAATTTCTACTCTGAGACTTTAACCACATTTGAGTGGATTCAAAAAATAAAGCATGTTGAATCATTTATTAAGACAAATGCACAAATTTCCCACAAAATAGTAGTAGATTAAAAAATAATATCCTGGCAACCCTACCTTCCTCCGTATAGGTTTGGTCGGGCTCACATCCTGCAGTATCTGGAGGGAGCCCGTCGTGACGGCTGGCTCCGTGACTGAAGCAGCTTTCGGCCTGAAAGCATCAATTGTAGACCTGAAATCCCATGTACAATGTAACCGTGCCAAAGGTTCGCAGACAAATAGGAGAGTTAAGCTTATTTACATCTCAAATCACGAACAGTACGCATCATCACAATTATTAACCCTTTGACTGCCGTGTAGGTCACCCGTGACCTACGCGGCGCACTGAAGTAATCCTGTCTATTATTAAAACGCCATAACATCTCAAAGATTCTGGGAAAGACTAATCCGAATATACTGTGGACGAATCTATTTGTAAAATACGTAAAAAAAAACATACATTAAAAACAAAAGAAGGCAAAGTAACTTTGATTAAAACAAAGTAACCAGCTTAGTATTAAGCTTAGCCAACTTTATTTAAGAAAAGAGTATTATTAGTTAAGCTTTTTTTTTTTATTGCTTAGATGAGTGGACGAGCTCACAGCTCACCTGGTGTTAAGTGGTTACTGGAGCCCATGGACATCCACAACGTAAATGCGCCACCCATCTTGAGATATAAGTTCTAAGGTCTCAGGTTTAGTTACAACGGCTGCCCCACCCTTCAAACCGAAACGCATTACTGCTTCACGGCAGAAATAGGCAGGGTGGAGGTACCTACCCGCGCGAACTCACAAGAGGTCCTACCACCAGTAAAAAGTATGTTCCCCTGTATCGCTAATTCTTTGAAAAACTTCAACTTCTTGAATACACTCGCGGCAAATAGTTTATGGTGACTGTACTATATTATAATCTATTTCCTATTCTTATGTTTATACTATGTTGTGAAGCTTCATCAAAATCCGTCCGATAGTTTTCACGTGAACGAGTAATTTTGCATTCTCACAAACCTCTACATATGAAATCTTAGGATACTATTGATGATACACTGTTCGTGATTGAATTGTTAAGTTAAGATGGATAGATTTTCGTCAGATTCAATTCTATGGAAAACTAAAAAGAAGTGAGATCAGATCTCGTTAGTGCAAGGAAATATACGTGCAGTTAATTAAATATAAAATTGAATTACCTCTTGTTCATATTCATTTTACAGGATTTATAAAATCAAAAGCACCACTAGTTTAAAAAGAAAACTTTATTGCAAATTATAACAAAAGTAATTTGTATTAAAAGCTTAATCGAGTTAATGGTAGAAAAAAATAAGAGTTAATTAGAAGTAAATGAGATATTGGTAGAAAATTAAATCAACCCGTTTACTACACACCCATCGCATCGAGTCATACTACACTTGTGTCAAATTAACTGAAAACAAAAAAAAACTAGTATAATATTATATCTTTAAAATAACTTCAAAGCACCTACGTTCGTCTAAAGATTATTATACAGGCTAAGTTGGTGTTAAAATTTTCCTAATATTTTTATCAGACTTCAAACATTAACTTCATTCTTGCACAGCAACTAAATTTCAAAAATGTCAAATGGCAAAAAATAAATTATGTATTTATAAAAATTAGATAAGATCTAAAATCTAAATCGACCTGTCAGTGTATAGTATAATTAAATGATCGAGTAAAATACTTCTATAGCAAATAAAGATAAAATCCGTGCAAATGTTGCGATTTTCATGTAAGCTACGGAGCTAAGATACAAAATATATAATAATATAATAATAAAATGTAAAATTTAAATTATCGGTTCATTACTTTGATCACTCAAACGTTTATACTGCCCTAGATAAGTATAGTCTGTTCAGACACATCTATGAAACACGAGATTGAGGTCGGAATTTCATAACGTCTTTTTATTTCGAACACTAGTGCACCAGTAGTGATTCGCAGACGAAATAAACAGCATTGTGATCGCCTTATAAAAAATTAGCAATATTTTTAGTGTATTTGTTTTCTAATATCTCTAGCAAATTGTCTAGACAATAAAAAATAAACATGTACGACATAGTATCGAAACCTTCAATCTCATTCTCTTGCAAACTATGACCCTATATGTACGTATACATTTTTTTTATTTATACATATTTTATTTAAATTGTGTAGAGCTATACATTTTCTCTTTATTGTGCTGTTTTTTCGTTTCATCTACTTTGAAATCACAACTGTGCTAAAGAAGCTTATCTTCAAACATTTATGAATAATTTATAAATCAATAAGACATTCTGAATGTTATATATTATATTTTGTTTATTAAAGTAATTACTCACCTAAAAGGTGGTATCTCAGGTATTTTGCCGATGCTTATCTTCTTTTTATCGGTTTTTTCGGCTTGTTTCGGAGTCGTGGGCGTCATTGTGCGCGGCGTGTTGCGAGACGACAGCCGGATGTCGTCTTGACTTGTACATTCAGACTTATCGATGAATAAGAAATTAAATACATATTAGTTCCGCATAATTATATTTTATTCATAATTCCATTAATTTCCATTTGTGCTAAAGGGATTTTCGAAAGAAACGAATCTTTATTTAACAATATAATGATTTTTGGAATTTTAGTTATGTGATGTTTTTTTAATGAAAACTACTAAAACATAAATAATGTAATGTAATAATTCTACCATAAACTCACCAGCAAAGGTGCATGTGCGTTTTTAATCGCTTCTCGACGTTGAAACTCGACTTTTGCCATTTCTGTAGCGAGCCAACCCGGGATCTCAGGTATCGCGATTCGCAGCGCTAATACTATCACTAAAACTATGTGCTGAAAACAATTTCATATTATTATAAATATGATGAATAAAACTATATTGTAAAATATTATCATATCATATATCATATAATTATGATTTTTTAAATATCCTAAATACACAGAAACAAACAAAATATTAGGGTTACAAATGAATGAAAATAAGTCACAAAAAATTTCACTTTAATTTACCAGATAAAACTGATTTTGTGTAATGGTTAAGAGTGAAAAGAAAATAAAGTCATTCGTGACCATAAAAACTGGTAGTGTTCAGAGCGTCCCAGACAATCAAATGAAAATAGTGAAAGCGAGATAAAACTGTAAAAGTACCGTAGATTGGGGGGAATAGGGACTACGGGTATAATAGGGACAAATCTGGGATGTAAGAATGCTTTTGTGAGATTTAAACTTGTTGAATTGAAAAGACTTTTAATTAGTGTTTATGAATATTAAATAATTAAATTTAGTCATCAGAGTTTTGTAACTGATTAAAGATATTGAAAAGTTAATTATTTAAAGGTAAGTACCTAACTAACAATTAAACAGTGCCACCCCTATCGAAAAACTATTGTCCTCATACGTGACCCGATTCGCCCCAAAAGCCAAACCGGATTAGGTCAAGCTAGTTTTTAAGTTTTTGTGGATAGTTTTCAATTATCTATAATAATGCATCGTATATGAAAATTTAAACCTTCAGAACCGTTTTAATCTCAATTTTATTGGTATTACCCTAAGAAAAACTGCGGAAAATTTGTGTTGGAATTGGAAAGCGTCCCGATTCCCCCAGCTACTGTAGTTTTAATAAAAAGTTATTATTAATAATAAGACTGACTATGGTACAGTAGATAGCGGCTCCAACAGATTTGTTTGTATATATATTTATAAACAATATATTTAAACATATATAAGTATGTTTAACATATCTATTCTAGTAACAGTTTAGTACCCACAGCACAGGCATCCTAAATCAGGGCCGAATGATTGTGCGTGATTGCTTCACAGATATTTAGAGAAACAAAAAAAAAGTTATTCGTTACCTCTAATCCCACAATGATGAGTATAGTTTGTGCGGGCGTGGCGTCCGGCAGCAGTCTGTGCACGGGCCCCGACAGTCCTATCAGCGCGCAGTTCACCAGTACCGCCACCGCCACTATGGCTTCCATGGCGTTCTAAAACAATATATATACAGACTTTAGCGTATTTCTGCTTTTGGTCATCATTATTTTGTATGTCAGAGTAAGTTCAGACAAAGATAAGTTAAGCGATGCACCGGTGTTCGAATCCCGCAGGCGGGTACCAATTTTTCTAATGAAATACGTACTCAACAAATGTTCACGATTGACTTCCACGGTGAAGGAATAACATCGTGTAATAAAAGTGAAACCCGCAAAATTATAATTTGCGTAATTACTGGTGGTAGGACCTGTTGTGAGTTCGCGCGGGTAGGTACCACCTGCCTATTTTTCTGCCGTGAAGCAGTAATGCGTTTCGGTTTGAAGGGTGGGGCAGCCGTTGTAACTATACTGAGACCTTACAACTTATATCTCAAGGTGGGTGGCGCATTTACGTTGTAGATGTCTATGGACTCCAGTAACCACTTAACATCAGGTGGACTGTGAGTTCGTCCAACCATCTAAGCAATAAAAAAAAAAAGATATACGCTATTTATTTATTTATTTATTAATAAATTTGTAGATAATATTATTAGATTATTTTATTACTAGTGGTCCTTCGGTAATCCAAATTCGACTATAATTAATTGAAATTATAAGTTTGTACACTATTATGTTTCAATTGTCAAAGAGTATTTATTATAGGCCAATAATCACAAATTTCGCCAAGAATACACTTTGGACAAATAGTATTAAAGACAAATAATTTACTCTCAATTTGACCACAGACTACACATAAGCAATAAGAAAAGATAGACAATAAACACATAGTACGCATGCGTGTGTGTGTGTGTGTGGGTGTGTCAAATACATGGTAGTGTGTGTTATGTTTTTATTTATTGATTTCATGTATTTTTTATATATAATTTAAAAAAATATTAGCATTCTGCACTACTTCTTTTTATTCTTTATAAGTGTGGGAAATTTCATACTCCTCCGTCTAATATAAGTTCTAAGATTTCAGTATAGTCATAACGGCTGCTCCGCCCTTCGAACCGAAACGCATTACTGCTTCTCGGCAGAAATAGGTAGGGGTAGCGCTGACCCGCTGCCTACCGTTAAGTACTCTCTGATATAATTTCAAGTTCTAGATAGCAGAGTCCAGTCTTTAAATCGCAGAGTGCAGGTACTTACGAAATAATATACTAACACACTTTTACAAATTAGAATTAATTACGTGGATGCTTTAGAATATATTTTTTTTAATCGGAATCACAGTTTTATTTTGTTTTACTTCACGAACCAACTTGTTTTTTTTTTCACTTTTTTTTATGACACCTATTATCACTGCTGTCTATGTATATCGACGCTTGAAAGGCAAACTTGACTAAACGACAATAACTGCTTTATATATAAATGATAAACAATAACCATATTCGGTGCGCAAAAAATATATATTTCTAGGGTCTATTAAAATCATTTCAATCCTACAGCTAGATTCGTTAAAATAGATTTTTTTTCAGGTATTAAGCTTTAAATTAGTCTACTGTAAAGTTCACGCATTGTCGCTTAGTCACGTTTGCCTTTCAAGTGTCTTTTCTTTTCTTTTTGATAAGGAGTTTCTATGTCTATCAACTCCAATACACTCCACAGGTCTCGTTGGAAGGTGGACGTGTCATAGCGCTATTGGGAGACTGGGGATGGTGCAAGACGGCTCGGGTCTGACCTGCCAGCTGCCGATGCTGTTGACCCTCTCGCCGAAGGGTCTCTGCGCGACGTGGCACAGCTTGAAGGCGTCGGCGCGCACCTCGGCCGCGTTGTTGAGCAGCGCGCACGCCGCCGCCAACGGGAAGGCGGACGAGAACAGCACCACGTGGCCCAGCTGCGTCAACATCTCTAGGTACTCGGCGAACGTTCCGTCGTACTGGGTATACAAAAAAAAAGAAGAAAAAAAAAGTTTATATACATATTTTTCAGCTGGACGTATTACGGGTGGTAGGACTTATTGTGAGCCCGCACGGGTAAGTACCACCACCCTACTTACTTACCCACGGGTAAGTACCACCTATTTCTGCCGTGAAGCAGTAATGCGTTTCGGTTTTAAGGGTGGGGCAGCCGTTGTAACTATACTTGAGACGTTAGAACTTATATCTCAAGGTGGGTGGCACATTTACGTCATAGATGTCTATGGGCTCCAGTAACTACTTAACACCAGGTGGGCTCTGAGCTCGTCCACCCATCTAATCAATAAAAAAAAAAAAATGTTTTGTACAAAAATATTCGAAGCCTCGGAAAAAAATTGATAAAATTGAAAACTAGTTAAAAATAGTTTTATTATTATAAATTTTTCGTGTCTTGAAGTGAAGCGAACGGAAACATATTAGTATTAACAAACGAATCCGGTTAATACGGATCATCAGCGATGCGACAAATATTCTCAATTATATGCCTGTAATTCAAATTGTTTATTTCAACAATATTGTTTAATGGGTTCTTAAGATTTTCACTTTTAATGAGATCTCAGTATTTTGCAAGCCATGGTCACTACAGCAATAGACTATCCATATAGTACTAGCGGACTATCCATGTAGTGCTAGCAAATTATCTATTAAAATATGAGCACAAGAGTGCGTCCCTCAAGGTTCGTTACATTTTTTAAATTAAAGTCGAAATCACCTTAAACAACTGCGATTCCAATTCTGCTTGATGTATGACCTTCTGCCCGACGAGGGGCTCTGAGTCCCTCCTTTCATCGCTCTCTGCACTGCCGTTGGGCACGGCGCCGTCCTGTGCATCGCCTACAGATTCATTCTTCTTGTCAAACAATTCGTTTAATTGTGTGCACGTGGGCGCTGAAATGTGTGCGTTACAATTATTGACAGTACATTGCGCGCTCTATTCTAACTCAACCATGCCATTGTACATAAAAAAAAACTCAATGCACACGAATATTTGCACTACCTTCTGAGGTCATTTTTTGAAGTAAAACTTCTAATGCGACTTCCAACAAGGTTACGTTAAACTTTTAACGCAACTATACTAGAAAGAGACAGAGCGAGAGTGAATGCGCGGCACTCGAACGCATGCGTGTAGTATACCTGTTACAGGCCAGCGCGAGAGTTAGTACTGAGTAGCTCCAATATTTTAATGAAGTATTTAAAAAAATATATATATGTATATTTCTATCTATAATTTAAAATATACATAATATAAATGTTGAAGATGTCGCATCTCTTATACACAGCTTTCGCTATTACAAGAGCAATTTGATTTAAGGTTGAAAAATGAAGAAAATCATAATACTACACGTCGAAAAAGAAGTTTCCCTTCATTCACGTGCACTAAGTTGCGCGCGAATTTTTTTTTTGTAAACAACCAATTTAATGCGATAAACGAATTTTTGAAGCGAGAAATTATTCAAGACTTGAACTCTCGCTGAGCAAAATTTTATTAGATTATTTACGTAATGTTTTTAATGAGCTTTTGCAGTTAGTATCAAAGACACGTCATTACGGATCCTCCCGATCCGTTAACGGTGCTTTTAGGTACCACAAGCACCGGTCACCGTCCTCGTCGAACCCGTCGCTTGCGACGAAGGGCTCGACGAGTAAGTTAACCCACAGACACAGCCCCCATTGAGTTTCTCGCCGAATTTCTCACTGGGTCGCGTTTCCGATCCGGTGGTAGATTCTGCGAAGCACGGCTCTTGTAGGGCCAGTGTTAGAAACACTCCCGGTTTGAGCCCCGTGAGCTCACCTACTAGTTCGGTGCATCTGGAATAACCCCTCGAGGTTACTGTAATATGTCGGAAGTACTTTAATGCGCGAATCGACGCCGCAATGTACATCGAAAATGCCAGAGACACGACCTTGTCGCGACCGGTCAGAGTCTATAACGTTGCCGATACCAACCCAAACTCACCTTTACTAGGACTGATCGCACCGAACACGTCGACGCATATTTTGGCGAGTCGAAGATTCTCAATCAGGTAAGGCAAAGCAGATTCTTTCAGATTACCGATTACCTGTCTAGTTATTAGCAACACTGCTAATTGCTGAAAACGTGAAAATTGTTTTATAAACAGTATTCGGTGGAATATGCAAACGAAAAAAATGACGATGTAAATATTATTGGTGGTAGGACCTCTTTTGAGTCCGCGCGGGTAGGTACCACCGCCCTGCCTATTTCTGCCGTGAAGCAGTAATGCGTTTCGGTTTGAAGGGTGGGGCAGCCGTTGTAACTATAGTTGAGACCGTGGCGCATTTACGCCGTAAATTTATATGGGCTCCAGTAACCACTTAACACCAGGTGGGCTGTGAGCTCGTCCACCCGCCTAAGCAATAAAATATGGGAATGTTTACATAGAGACATCGTTGTAAAGAATTTAGATACAAAGCACTCTTGCTAAGTAGTTGCCGTAGCTCATAAAACATGAAAAGATGTTTTTTTTTATTGCTTAAACGAATCAATAAACTCACGGCTCGTCCGGTGTTAAATCGTCACCGGAGCCCACAGACCTCAGCAATGTAGACACAACCACCCACCTAGAGACATGAGTTCTAAGTCTCAGATTTTACAATACAACGGCTGCCTGGCCCTTCAAGCCGCATTACTGCTTCACAGGAAAAAAGGGTGACGGTGGTTTTGTGATCCCACACGGGTAGGTACTATCAGTGACTTCTTAGTGCACTTATAAATTGCTTTCTGTAGACAACAGCATTGCTAACTTGCTTCGATAATCCTAAATGCTGAGGGTCGTGGCCTCATCTAATAACTTTCTCCTATCTCTATTATACACTATGACTACTAGTCATACGCTAATATCAATACAGTAAATAATAATTATCGAATAAAAAAGCAAATTTAGAGTATTTATGACAACATTGACCTTTCACTTTGCTTTATGCTTAGGAGAATTTAAGCTAACTGCTGAAATGAAATGTAATGATGTATTTGAAACTATTTTTTACATACCTCCTTCAATTTATCCATATCCTGTAGATAAAACGCAATGTAGAACAAACTCATGAACGAGTTCACGAATTGAAACTGAAATTTTATTATCGTCTATTAATTATTACGCCTGTAACAATGTTACGTCTTTATGATCACTACACGGAAAGCATCTACAAATGTTGATTTTAATGTGTAGATTCGAAATATCACGAAAATATGGGACTTTATTTTAGAGCGCCACTGGCTCTCAAATTGTTAAACATCCCTCCTTATCTATTATTTAGTTTTTTTTATTTTATTTACTATATATTTTACTCTAAGTCTACTTATACAAAATGTAAAATATTTAAGCAATATTAATTAAAATACAAGCATTGTCATTGTTAATAAGTATTTTTCATATTTTAGTTATTTAATTGTGTATTCCTTGTGATTTATTGATGTTAAATAGTTTAGTAACAGCTTTTAAATAAAACTTTTTGTGGCAACAATTACATTACTACAGACATATACATTAGTTTAAATTAGTTTGTGATCGTACAAGCTTTTTGACATGCAGAGTAACATGCAAGCGAAGAAAACTAGCGAGCAGAAAGCACATGAAAGACTCGTTGTTTCCCAAACTATGTGCACTTCCCCTATTTTTCGGTTAAATGAACCATAATTACAACATTTCCAGGACCATTTAAGAGGTTGATAATGAGGGTAATTTACACAAAAAAAAACTATGTGCTATATGCTATATTTATAAGACGGATATAGTAAATGGAAATCTATCCAGGGGGAGATGGAGTGATCAAGTGTCCGAGCACTTGGACACGAAACAGACTTCACTGACCGACATGAGTGGCTACAGATCACAGAAAAGGTTTCAGACGGGCGCATCGCAAATCAATGAGCAATAGATTGGAAGGGGAGTAGAAGTATAATTATATATTTAGTTAGTAAATGGGGCAAATTTTATAAGGCCTGCTATTGAAAATAGACTGGTATGCGTTTAAATATCTAAATATCATCATCATCAGCCCACAGCCGTCCATTGCTAAATATAGGCTTCTCCCAATCCACACCACTGAGCCCGGTCTTCGGCTCTCCTCATCCACCATTCGAAGGTATCTCAATACTCTATAATTATATATCTTATAAAAAACCCAGATAAGGAGCGAACAAACTTGGTCGTCACATAATGTTTGTTCAATGTGGGAATCGAAAAAACCACCCCGGGCTCAACAGTTAAGAAGCGCTAACCACTGCGCGACCAGTAAATATAAAAACGCATGTAGATATCATTGGCTGGGATGAAGAGATAGAAATGAAATAGAAAAGCAATTTGTATAAATTACAACCAAATTATAGGTATGTAATATGCAAAAATACAGTTTTTAAAGCAATGTCTTTAAGATCGATGTCTCGTGCGGGTAGTTTTGTTTTTGATTCGACATGCCCGTCAATGTTGCATTTATGGCGAACTAATATCTGTTATCCGAAACGACTGATCGAGTCTGAGCGGTGAACGTTAATGCCTGCATTCAATTCGTATAGCTCATGTGAAATACAAACCAATGCAATTTTCACAATCAGATGGTTCTCATATTTCGTATCGAGGCGATAGTTTTCTGTTATGGAAAAGAAAAAAAAAGAAAATCCGTGTTTATTTTTACCCGTTCGCATTTAATTACGCAGTCCAGTCCCGTTTGGTGAGCAGAAAAGAGAAACGACACGCGCTATAGTATCATACTACATTAGTGTACTCTATAAGTCTATTTACTTTTTCAACTATTTAATTGAATAATTTAAAAAAAGAACTATTTTATAACGTAATTATTTTTATTGTCGACCGACACTTACTTATAAAGATGCTTGGTGGATCATTTATATTTATTTTATTTTTGATACGAAAACACAACACCAAAAAAATAATTAATTTATTGTTCATTGAATACTATTTATCTATGTGCATTTCTAGCATGTAATTATTTTTAATGTTTAAATAAATTAATAAAATAATTTTGTAGGACTCGATTTTAATTTCAACAAACCAAATCACGAAGCGGTGTTGCGCTTTTGAACAAACCATGCACTTTTTCTAATAACTATGAGTTTTCAATGTATATATCAATACTTTATTTCTATGTATTTATTGTGTCAAAATAGTTTTTGGGACTAAGAATGTGTTTATAAAAATCACCTATCGATGAATCACACACATAAAATACACTCAAACAGCAAGTGATCTAATTAGACAAAACAGTTGAACAAAAACAGAGGAGTGGTTCAATATACTAATTCACTCATGTATCAAAATAACATAATAAAAAAAAATTAATGCACTTTTGTAATACAGTCTTACTTTTACTGTGCTAATGTAGAATCAACTAGAGAACAACAAAGTAGTTATTTATGGACCCCCTATAGGAGATTTTATTTATTAAATAACTTATTTGAGAACCACTGTCCTAAATAAATACCTTTGTCTCAACAAACAATATACCTTTGTCATTTAGCCATCTGGCTATCCTCGCGTAGACTTCTTCTTCCACGGCGATGATTATAGCCAGCAGTGCACGGGGTATCCACGTGAAATATACTATATTATTTTCCCACCAATCCTATAATTCAAAGCGATTAATTATTGATTTATTACACTTCATGTAATGTTTACATTGGCGGACTTGATGCCACAGGCATCCTCCACCAGTCAACCAAAGGTAGTGCAGAATAAATAATGGTAGGTGCATGGAATTTATATTGAGAGTTATTAATAAATGGCAATAAATTCTGTTACCAGCTTTGTGAAATATTTAACTTAATACATATTTTATGTAACGTTAGTGTATCAATACTAGAGGAAGAGGTAGACCTAAGAAAATGGATGGTTTGCTTGAAAGACGATATATGGTCTTCTCGCATTAAGACTGTATAATCTCAAAATTTTTTGAGTGTTTTAAAGGTGTAACATGTGATATTTTTAATATTAATCATCTCTGCAAAAATGCTTTTTTACCAGTTACATTATCTGTCTTTTAAATTAAGATAACATTATGTATTAATTAGGTTAATAATAGTCAAAACATAGGTAAATAAAAAAAAAGAACTAAAAGTAAACTACGCTCTTTTGACAGTATCTATGATAAAAATACTGGTGATACCAAATGATTCCGCATATTAACTCAATTTCGAATATTTTCGGAAATTGTATAATTTTAATGCGAAAAGCGTATGTCAGAGGGGAGTGAGCGAAAAAATGGTATATGATAGAAGAGTATGGAAGGAGACAATAAGTTGCGCCGACCCCAGGTGACTGGGAGAAGGGCAGGATAATGATGATGGTGTATCAATATTCGTATCTGTTTAAGGTATTTTCATACCTGCGCACGTAAAAGTGCAAAGGTTGCACCGGCGGCCACACACAGACACAGCAGCGTGGCGGGCATCGATATACAGTGTCGCCACACCCGACGTCGCCACGAGGCGTACTGGGGCTCCGGGCGGCCAGTCACCGGACTTATGCTCATTTCACCCTGGGACGATTTACTATCATTACACAAATCTATTTAAATATGCAATTTCGAAAAGGGCACATCTCTGAAAATGTAAAATGTTCAGGAAATGAAAAAAAACTGATTATTTTCTAAAGCAGTGTCAAATTTAAAATATTAACTTTTGAGATATATTCTAGTGTTAATTATCAATTGAAAATTACTGGAATTATTATAAAATAGGTGTGTAGGTAATCCTCAAAACTACATGTATATGAAAAAACGTATTTGACAAAATAAGCGACATGAGCCCTTTTCGAAATTGCATATGCATTTATATGAGCCGTCCCGCATTAGTCCCAGTTACATAATAATATTGTTATGCGCGAACAGAAACAGTGTGCATGACTCTATCAACATGTCGCAAAAGTAAGCGTATATTAAAGTGTTACTATTTTAAGTTTAATTGTTCTATTAATATATGTTTCTTAGTCATGTTTGAGTGTAATACTATTTTTTGTTCGAGCAGTTTTTCTTCTGTTTAGGTTCTGCTAGAAAGGATATCTTTTTTAAATTTACTGTATACTAACTGAACAACTAAATGTTTTTATATGGCGATAAATTAAATGATCCTCATTTTGTGCATTAACCTTCCTTTTTTGTAATTTCAGAATATACTGGCTTTATTATAAAACATTGTATTAATTATTCATGAAAATAAAAGTAAATAAATTTGTTTAGCCACCGAATGACTAATGGGAGCTTATCGACGTTAGCCGTTCGCACATGTGGGGCTTTCAGCAAAATTATCGTATCCCTGTTAAATTAAAATTTATTAGGGTTGTCTCGTCACCTGGAATAGGGGTCGGGGCTCGAGAAGCAAGTCGTCGCGCTGGTCCAGGGTTCCCCATCTATAAGCCAACACGTTGGAGTACCTAGCAAGTGAACGAAGTACATCATTAATCAATACGTCTGTTTTTAAATGTGATTAATATAGTAAAGTACTTTTACTGTTTCAAACATTCAAAAAATGTAAATAGGATCTACTAAAATGCACCAAAAGTACGACTCAGCAAATAATTTCAATGGTGGTAGAACCTCTTGTGAGTCCGCGCAGGTAGGTACCACCACCCTTCCTATTTCTGCCGTAAAGGGTGGAGCAGCCGTTTTAACTATACTGAGATTTTAGAACTTATATCTCAAGGTGGGTGGCGCATTTACGTTGTACATTTCTATGGGCTCCAGTAACCACTTAACACCAGGTGGGCTGTGAGCTCGACCACCCATATAAGCAATAAAAAAAAAATTAATTAAATATTATATGAGAGTTTATAAATTAGTTATAGTACAGGATCCCTGGTACACTTTTCATCATTTATTACTAACGAGCTGATTTTTCGTGAGTAGCTTCCTTTTGACTAGACGCCCAACTTTTTTCCTTACAGTAACGTTGGTAAATGGTAGCTTACTAGCAAGGATAAAATATGTTGATTTCACAAATTTTAAAAATTTATTACTAACCGAATTTTTCTTTGTTAATTATCGAGATAATTATGTAAATAACGTGAAAAAATATTTGTTCTACAAAATATAAGGTTTCGTTAGGGAGTCCCCCCTCTCCAAATAAGGTCATGAAAAATAATTACTAACCAGCTGATTTTTTTATATTGGTTAGCTAACATTTGCATACTTTACCACCCACATTGTCCTACAAATTGCGTGGTATGTCATCTTGGTCCTACGCTTAAAAGTTGCCAGTACCACAGGACTTGTCTGTAGGACAAAGGTATCACGTGATAGGAGGAAAAATTAGGTTTTCACACAGCCAAGCCAAGCCAACTCACCTTTTCCAAGTCTCCAAATAAATGCACGCCCACAATACATTAAACAATGAGAACAGCATGTACGCTATGTCCTTCCACTGATCGTTCGCAGTGCCCAGCCATATCTACAAGAATTAAAATCAAATTTATAGCCGCTGTACACAAAGCTTTTACACTTTTCCAAATCGTGAAGCAGCAATGCGTTTCGGTTTGAAGGGTGGGGTAGCCGTTGTAACTATACTTGAGACCTTAGAACTTATATCTCAAGATGGGTAGCGCATTTACGTTGTAGATGTCTATGGGCTCCAGTAACCACTTAACACTAGGTGAGCTGTGAGCTCGTCCACCCATCGAGGCAATAAATAAATAAATCAAAATTCCGTACACTTACCCAGAATATAAAACCGACGACGGCCGGCACGGTCAGCGAGCGCGTGTAATGGCCGAGCCAAGCGAAATACATCGCGATTTTGACGCCGAAATATTCACTTATTTCATCTACAAATCGATTTTATCATAAGCATCAATGCCATGAAGTCAACACTTTGACAAACAAACACCGAGCAGTAAAATATTTTTTTACAATTTTACCTCTGTTAAATATTTGTAATCTTTTTTTTTTAGTGGTTTTATGACCTGATATCTAAGACTTTTAAGTCAAGACTTATTTTAATTTACAATATTAATGAATTTTTTTATAAATGAAAATTTATTTTAAAAAATGAAATGAAGTTAATTAATATGAAACATGGCATGAAATGAAATGAAATGATACATGATGAAATATCCTGTATCATTTCATTTCACACTAAATACACACATAATCACAGTAAATTGGTGGTCATTTACTGAGACTATGTTTTATTAATGTGTGTGTTTATTAGTGGACTTTTTGGAGGATCCCGAGAAGTTACGTTTAGCGGCGTTGTGTCATTTTCCCACATTTGTGCACTTTCACAGATACTAAACACTTAATAAACCACCGTTATTACATATTTAAACCTGAATAAACACCAAATTGACAAAATAAAATAAATCACACAACTTCACTCCTCGCGTTCCCGCCATAAAGTACATTAATTGTAATCTATTCATTATCAAAGAGTATATGAAAGATTTGTTCGTTTTCTTCGAATACTTGAATGAAATACCGAAAACAAATAGTAGTTTACATAATTTTCCAATCAATTATTAAAATATCTTACCTAAAGGCTGTGGGGAGAAGAAAGTCTTCACCCACTTCTTCCGCAGGCTCTCCAGAGAATTTCTTTCGTGCAACGGAAACATATTCGCTACGACGCCCCGACTCACACACGCAGGCACTGGGGGATGATAATTGCCCCACTTTAACTTCCTGTCTTTAATAGATACTAGCTGTACCCGCCCGCTTCGCTGGGCATTTAAATTTAACATTATTATTTCTCACCCCCACAAAGATTCTCATCATTAACGCCCCTGCAACTTGTATAGGGAGTCCAACACTCATATAAATATTAGCCTATCCATTAAGTACATGTATTTTCTACATGGATACCAAGTTTGAAGTCAATCGGATGCATTGCGGAACATCCGTAAAAACCAGTATAGTTTTATATATATTAGGATACCTGTGATCCTGTGTGCTTGGCTTAATGCGAGTTAACTTCTCGATCGTGTAAAAGTTAACTCAAATTTGTATGGAGTTGGAACAGGTCCCCTTCGTTTGTCGATAGGGGCGCTGTTGTATCTCGATACAAATTTCAGTTAACATTTACGCGATCGAGAAGTTCAAAAACTCGCACTAAGTACACTGGAGAGATTTAAAGGAGGGAACCCCCCCCCCCCAACCCTCCTCTCAGAGTTCTTTACGTAACTAATAAATACGACCCCTTGTTCGTTTGCGCCCTTTCTTAGTGCCACTATAAGAGATGGCTTATGCTGATAGTGTGATTATGAAAAGATTACTATATCCGAAGATTACAGTACTACAAACTGTCATTAGTTATAATCTAATATATTAAAGATATGCGGCAATCGAATAATTTCCGAAAGACCGGCACCAACTGGCCCTCCTAGTGGCACTCGATGGAGTACACAAGTGACACTTACTGATGGTAGGACCACTTGTGAGTCCGCGCGGATAGGTGAAGCAGTAATGCGTTTCGGTTTTAAGGGTGGGGCAGCCGTTGTAACTATACTTGAGACATTAGAACTTATATCTCAAGGTGGGTGGCGCATTTACGTCGTAGATGTCTATGGGCTCCAGTAACCACTTAACACCAGGTGGACTGTGAGCTCGTCCACCCATCTAAGCAATAAAAAAATAAAAACACTACTTAGAGAATTTATTCTTTTGACATGCTGTTCTCAACGATTGATCGTGGGTTCTCTACCATAATTATAAGAATTCATTTTTATTTTGAGCTATAATCTGTTTGTGTATGTTTATCCAACTGCCCAGCGACAGCGCCTACATATGATTTACAATAACTACTAATGGTGAAGGATGATTAAAAAAAGCAGAATGTCTTTTGTTGAAGCTTTACATACCAATACTTTGTCCAGGCCTTAGGGTTAACGCCGGTTCTAAAGCATGCTCATCGCCTGCTTCCGCACGAGCTGACTCCAGCACGTGCTTCACGAGGACTCCACGCTCCTGCGTATTGAGGAGTTCTGATGCTGACGAGCCCTTAAGAGTCAATATTTCGATAAGGCTAATCTTATTTACTGTAGCGCAGTTTTATATGAAGTCTCTCGAAATTTATCACCAAGTATTGGACGAAAAATACTATAAAACGAATATTTGGTCCTTTGAACCTCTCTTATCTAAAAAGTTGAACAGTTAAAGTTTAGGACTTGTAAGTACCATTACCTTCTGTTGTATAATAGGACCACAGAATTAATACTTTTCATATTTGATATTGTTAATGAATTAGAATTCAACATTATGGTGGATGTTTTAGTCAATAGATTTTTTTTATTGCCCTTGTAGGCAGACGAGCTTACGACACACCTGATGGTGAGTGGTTACCGTCGCCCATGGAATTCAGTAATCCCAGGGGCAGAGCCAAGCCGCTGCCTACCGCTTAATACTCTCTTTAGTCGTCTTGGGTTGAATTATAATGTCTTTCCAAACACAAATGGAGACAAAGAAAGTTTTTATTTAAGACGAACACAATATATAGAAAGAAGGAGAAAGTACACAAGAAATAGATAGTCCAAGCAACACAAGCGGTACACGAAACAAAAAGCAAAAATTATAAAAGGCGTAGAACAGAAAAGATAATACGGGATGCGCGCTCGCAAGTCAAATTTCGACTGGTGGCGGTGGATCGGTAAAAATGCGACCGATGTACTAGCGAAATATATCGCCGCCGCTATACTGCAGTTATCGCCTGACTTTGCTTGTGAATTTTATTTTGTTAAGTGTAAATAATGTTTTGTATGATTGTGTGATAAATGAATGTGTTGATATAACATAAAGTATGTATGTGTTGTTGTGTAGTGTAATTATAATAAAATATTATAAAATAAATAAATACATGTGAGTCACCCACACTCTCCACAAGCCTCTTTCAAAGGACATGTGAATTTTTGACAAATCAAAAAAAAATGGACAGTAATAGACACTCGAACAAAAAACAGATGGTGTAAGCAATACAATTTTAATTACCTTTTGAAAACAATGCATGTCGCGTACAGTGAATTCCTTGTATCCCCCACCAAATTCTGGTTTCAATTGTTTTGGAAGGTGCACTTCTTCAGCCGTCTGCAACAATCTGAAAGGTACAAAACTGTATAGTGCTGTATGGTATCCTAAATCTCTGAATAGCTAATTCAGCTGGAGGTTCGCAAGTGACATTTGAAGTTTTTTTCTATTCAGTGTTAAATCGAAATTGACTTTTTTTAATTGCCTTTGTAGGCAGACGAGCATACGGTCCACCTGATGGTGAGTGGTTACCGTCGCCCATGGACTTCAGCAATGCCAGGGGCAAAGCTAAGCCGCTGCCTACCGCTTAATACTCTCCACAATCCTCGTTTGAAGAAGGACATGTCATAACGTTCGGGAAACACCGTGCAGGGGAGCTCATTCCATAGCCGGATGGTACGTGACAAAAAAGATGTTTGGAAACGCACTGTCGATGAACGCAGCGTTCCAGATAATATGGATGAACTCTGCTCGGATGGCGGGAGGTGCGATGATAAGAAGGAGATGAGGGGATTAAATGGGATCAAATGATTTTGAGTTTAATTTTATCTACTTTAAAATGTTAGTAACGAAGAAAAAACTTCATGCATGTTTACAATGTTACAATTTAAAGCCTGTCAGATTAATGGATATTTATGATGACAATAAATAATTAGAGAGAAACACAATGCTACCTCAGTGTGCTTTGTGCTGCAATTAGTGACAGCTCTATACGATACTATAGCATTTCGTTCACAACCCAGTATAACAATGATTTAATGGATTTTTTTTTAATAAATAAAAACTTCCATTCCATTTTATTTCACGATGAAATATCTGTGTTCAGGTTAGATACTGTCTGTGGTACTACATAGTGCCACGAGCCAATACCTACCGTGAACACGCGATATATGTCAAAAGATTTTTTAAATGATCTTGTGTTGTACACTGTTTTGAAATAAAGCTATTAGTTATCATCATACTATTGTCCAATTATAACGAAATTCTTAATTGTTAAATATTAATTTATTCAAGCTCCCGCCAAGCTACAGTTGCTATAACCTCCCTCAATCTATATTTACCCTGAATTTACGTTCAGGGTAAATATGGACCGTGATAGGTTTCGATATCACCAGCACCAGCATCTTCCAGCACCAGTATCTTCACAATCAATCATAATCCCACGATGTAGCGACTGCCCTCAGGTTAGGTACTGACTGTGGTATGACTGCTATACCACAAGCCAGTACCTAGCGTGACCGCAGCCATTGTATCCAATTAAGGCCGATGAAGAGTTTCTTAAGTAAAGAATTGTCAAACACTTTTTTATTACAACTAGAATTGATAACTTCTTTGTCAAGTGAACTGTAGAGTTAACCATAAACACAATTAGAAAAAAAAAAAATCCCTGCTGATTTGATTTTGTTACACTACGATTATAAATTATCATTCATCGTCGATGTCATTCGTCAAGGTTTATAAAGTACCTATTTATTCAGAACAAAATTGTGCCTGTCTCAAAATTTGTAGTCTTACGGTCAATAATAGTACATGGGATTTTATTCATTAGTACACAAAATCTTCTTGAAACATCCTTCTGAATTATTTAATCCTAGGGAAGTTCTTCAGGATCGTACAGTTGCTATATCTACCTCAATCTATATTTACCCTGAATTTACGTTCAGGGTAAATATGGACTGTGATAGATTCCGATATCATCAACATCAAGATGATTACAGTTCAGGCGGACGATGGGTTTCTGGAGTGAGGAATCCTTTTTTCATATCTTCACAACGCACCGATGTAGCGACTGCCTTCAGGTTAGGTACTGACTGTGGTATGACTGCTATACCACAAGCCAGTACCTAGCGTGACCACAGCCATTGTATCCATGATGACTTTCTTGAGTGAAGAGTTTTCATATTGCACAATAAACACCACAATTAAAAACTACAAATGCAACGGCATAGTTGCAACTGGGTCCTTATGCAGTACGGTCACCGACTCCTCTTGCAATTTACTTCTCAGTTGTTGAATTTTAGGTAAGTTCTTCATGATTCCACTATGTTACAGATGTCGTACCTACCTCAATCAATATTTACCCTGAATTTACGTTCAGGGTAAATATCGACTGGAGTAGGTTTTTACCACCACCAGAGCCACCGCGAGAACAGCTTGGACATGCGATACTTTGCTTGAGTGAAGAGTCCTTTTTTAATTTCTTCACAATATTGTGATGTAGCGACTGCCTTCAGGTTAGGTACTGACTGTGGTATGACTGCTATACCACAAGCCAGTACCTAGCGTGACCACAGCCATTGTATTCTATTTGGACTTATGATGAGTTTCTCGAGTGGAGAGTATCTAAATAAAAAAAATTTACACCATACGGTACATACAAACGGATAACATGTTACCTCGAGAGCTCACAAACACAACAATCATAAAATTACAAAATATGATTGTATAAATTTAGCCAACTTTATTTTATTACACGATGATATTCTTTAATCATGGATATCATTTTCGTCACTATGTATAAAATACGTAATTATTTAGAATAAAAAAGATGCCAGCCTTATGATTCAGGCTCCAGCATAGTCGCATAAATCAATAGGACGTCTTATACATTAGCGCTCTAAAGCTGCTGACGATGTCAGTTGTTAAAACATAAATTAATTTCTTGATGATTCCATCATGATACAGTTGACACACCTACCTCAATCAATATTTACCCTGAATTTACGTTCAGGGTAAATATCGACTGGAATAGGTATTTAATACCATCAGCACCAAATTGGCCTCTGTGACGATTCTTCATTAATCAATCTCACGATGTAGCGAATGCGGTCAAGTTAAGTACTGGTTGTAGTACGAATGGTGTACCACCAGCCAGTACCTAGCGCGACCGCAGACATATATCCAATTTGAAGAGGCGGTGAGTTTCCTGAGCGAGGAATCTTGACTATTTCACGATGTCGCGACAGAGATGAGACAACTTATTTTCTATGGTATTACTACTGGAACACTAGTCAGTACATAGTATGTCAGTAAAATACACTTTTCTTCTGGTAATAGATTCCTTAACACGTTGACTGCCGTGTAGGTCACGGGTGCCTTACGCGGCGCACTGAAGTACTTATGTCGATTTCTGTTACTAAGCGCCTGGATAGCCTAACTTTGCCTTCTTTTGTTTGTTAATGTATGTTTTAGTCTTTTAGGTCTCTTAGAAATAGATTCACATAGTATCTTTGTATTCGTCTATCCCAAAGTCTACTAGATATTCCGGCGCCTTAGTAAGAAGATCGAAGAGATAAATCTACCTACATAATTACTTCAGTGCGACGCGTAGGGCACCGATGACTTACATGGCAATTAACGCGTTAAGATAAAAATACCTTTTATTTCAACAGAACAAAAACAGTTATGATTCTTACTATTCTCTCATAGTACGCATTATAATCAAAATTTAAGAAATCAAATCAATCTTGCCGGTTTATTTTAATTTTAAAGCGTTTTTATTTAATTGTCAAAAACGTTTATCAACATGCGTTTAAGTATTTATTGCCTGAAAAAATTCACACCAATTGATAAACTTGTTATTAATAAAATCTTAAGTGTGAGGCTTTTTGGGATTCACGATTTTATAGTTGCTATACCTACTTCAATCAATATTTACCCTGAATTTAAATATGGACTGTGATAGGTTACTATACCACCAGCACCGTCGTAAGAACAGCTTGGACAGACGATTCTTTTCTGGAGTGAGGAACCATTTTTTAATATCTTCCCTGTATTGAGATGTAGCGACTGCTTTCAGGTTAGGTACTGACTGTGGTATGACTGCTATACCACAAGCCAGTACCTAGCGTGACCACAGCCATTGTATCCAATTTGAGTTGATAACAAAATAAAATAAAATGATGAGTTTCTTGAGTGAAGAGTTTTCACATTGTACAATAAATGCTGTAATTATTATTAGAAACTACAATGCAACCGCATAGTCGCAACTGGGTCCTCATGCATTAACGGCCACTAACTCTTCATGAGATTTACTTCTTAATTATTTAATATTAGGGAGATTCTGCAGGATCGCACAGTTGCTATACCTACCTCAATCAATATTTACCCTGAATTTACGTTCAGGGTATATATCGACTGGAGTAAGTTTTTACCACCACCAGGTACCGTCGTGAGAACAGTTTGCACAGACGGATTTCTTGAACGAGCAATATTTTTCTTATATCTTCCCAATATTGAGATGTAGCGACTGCCTTCAGGTTAGGTACTGACTGTGGTATGACTGCTATACCACAAGCCAGTACCTAGCGTGACCACAGACATGTATCCAATTTGAGCTGATGATGAGTTTTTCAAGTGAAGAGTTTTCATATTGCAAAATAAACACCACAATTAAAAACTACAAATGCAACGGCATAGTTGCAACTGGGTCCTTATGCAGTACAGTCACCGACTCCTCTTGCAATTTACTTCTCAGTTGTTGAATTTTAGGAAAGTTCTTCAGGATTCCACTATGTTACAGATGTCGTACCTACCTCAATCAATATTTACCCTGAATTTACGTTCAGGGTAAATATCGACTGGAGTAGGTTTTTACCACCACCAGAGCCACCCCGAGAACAGCTTGGACACACGATGTTTTTCTTGAGTGAGGAATAATTTTATAATATCTTCCCTGTACTGAGATGTAGCGACTGTCTTCAGGTTAGGTACTGACTGTGGTATGACTGCTATACCACAAGCCAGTACCTAGCGTGACCACAGACATGTATCCAATTAAGGCTGATGTGTTTCTTCAGTAAAGAATTGTTAAAGATTTAGAACTGAAACTTCTTTAGGTGCGTTGAGAGTAAAATTTACCTCACGACAGATTCGTTACGGCTAACGAGAAAAGATACAAATTAGGAAGAGCGAGAGTGAGAAAATAGACAGAGCGAAAGTGAACCAATCGACCGTGGAGAGAGGGAAAGGACAAAGCGAGTTAGATCCTTTCGCTTATATATATATACAGCATGAAAAATTAAGAAAACCGCAATACTACACATCACAAAAGAAGTTTCACGTGCACCA